GTGTGCGATGCTGAAGTTGACACAACAAACATATGTGCCACTGCCGTGTGCGATGGGGAAGTTGACACAACACACCCATGTACCACTGCCGTGTGCGATGGTGAAGCTGACACAACACACCCATGTGCCACTGCCGTGTGCGATGGTAAAGTTGACACAACACACCCATGTGCCACTGCCGTGTGCGATGGGGAAGTTGACACAACACACCCATGTGCCACTGCCGTTTGCGATGGTGAAGTTGACACAACACACCCATGTGCCACTGCCGTGTGCGATGCTGAAGTTGACACAACACACCCATGTGCCACTGCCGTGTGCGATGCTGAAATTGACACAACACACCCATGTGCCACTGCCGTGTGCGATGGTGAAGTTGACACAACACACCCATGTGCCACTGCCGTGTGTGATGGTGAAGTTGACCCATGATCAGGTGTATAACGCTCGAAATCGCATGGGGCCACTTCGAAATTATTTTCAGCATACCGGTAATAAACAAGCTACATAATGCTTGCATGATGTCCCATGTTGACTAGAGTTATGATGTCCCATATTGAATAGAGTTATGATGTCCCATGTTGAATAGAGTTATGATGTTCCATGTTGAATATATAACTTAAATAGTTATCTTTTTTTAAAATACCGTTATATATTTCAAACTAGCAGTTCTCGAACTTGCCTATTTGACCCAAGGACACTCAACATGTACACAGTTTGCACATAAAAGTACAAGACATGACAGGCTTTAATGTTTTAACTATAATTCAGGACCTACTGAAGGAAATTAAGTCAGAACTGACTGGAGATTTTGAAGAGGCCTGCCTTGCATTGCTGACCCCCCTCAGAAAACTGGATGCCCAACAACTGCACACTGCCATCTCTGTAAGTGTAACACCTGTCTTGACCAATGCTATCTCTGTAAGTGTTACACCTGTCTTGACCACCGCTATCTCTGTAAGTGTTACACCTGTCTTGACCAATGCTATCTCTGTAAGTGTAACACCTGCCTTGACCAATGCTATCTCTGTAAGTGTAACACCTGTCTTGAGATGTCTTGCTATGGCCTGTCCTTTTGTATGGTTTACCATATGGTATTAAATGTGTTATACACTGATTGTTTCCCCGCCTAATTTTTTAAGTACTTTTAGTATTGTGACCAATTTTGGTCATAACAACTGGGAGTACAGGTAGGTCATAACAACTGGGAGTACAGGTAGGTCATAACAACTGGGAGTACAGGTAGGTCATAACAACTGGGAGTACAGGTAGGTCATAACAACTGGGAGTAAAGGTAGGTCATAACAACTGGGAGTACAGGTAGGTCATAACAACTGGGAGTACAGGTAAGACATAAGTCATCTATTCATACCTTTCATTCTTATTATTTGAATTTCTAAATTTAAAAAAAATCTATGGCTTTTAGTTTGTAAAATCCTTAACATCTTTCCTATTAGTATGACTCAATAGAGCGTTTATGCCTAGCATATATTGAAATATCCATCCCTTCTTTTTAACTTAGTCCTAAAAAAAAATAACATAAATGATGCGTGGCTTTTTTTTTTTTGTCATTGGTGACCAGGGAGCTGGAACAGATGAGACGAGCATTGTTGAAATCTTGTGCACCAAGACAAACAAGGAAATTGAAGAAATCAAAGCTATTTACAAAACAGGTGATGAAATCAAGTATTTTTGTTAATAATACTTATATCTTTAGTGTAGCAGGACATTCACAAAGATAAACTCTGCAGTTAGCTGAAAATGCTGCCCTTCCATAGAAAGAAACAGCTCTTCCGCACCCCACTTGCTACACCTCTATGTGTGTTTCCTTTTTCAGAGTACCAAAAGAATGTTATGTGGGTTTATAATATGTATGTCCTAAAGGGTAAAACAGGGATACTAGCTAGACATTGTGTGCCATATGTTGGTATTTATTATTGTATTATTATTATTTTTTTTTATAATATAGTTCTGTTGGGTCTGGAGTATTCCTATCAAATTTAAGTATCCAAAGAATTATCAACTAAAGCCCTAATAGGGCCCCCACGACTTCACTTTAAGTTGATCTTTTGTTCATCCTATGTTCCAGAATATGGGTCAAATCTTGAAGACGCCCTGTGCTCGGACACATCAGGCTACTTCAGACGTCTGATGGTGTCACTGATGGCATCAGGCAGAGAGCCCGAAGGTTCCGTTGACAAGGACAAGGCTAAACATGATGCCCAGAAATTTTTTGATGTGAGAAAATTATTGCAATTTTTTTTTTTTCAAATTTGATATGTACCACTAAAATATATCAAATAACATAAACCTTTCAAATCCTCATTGAATCTGTGGAGATGAAAAATGTTAATTTTCATATCCTACTATTGAAATATGTGTACTAAAGTTAAAGTTGGGTCTTTATTTCAAAATTATCCCATCTCATTTTAGAGCCTTGAAAGACTTTCCACATAGACAAAAAAAATGTGATTAGATTATTAGTTTCATTGAATTGTTCAACATGCTCTGAATAATAGTCGAGATCAGAAAATGTCGCTATTTTTTTGGTTGTGTATTTTAATTTATTGACTTTAAAGACATAACTTAACTATAGAAATGTAATAACTACCGTGACACTATCTGAATCACAACCTTATAGGCAGGAGAGAAACTGTGGGGGACAGAGGAAGCTGAACTCAACGCCATCTTATGTCTGAGGAGCCACTCGCAGCTGCGAGAAACTTTCAAAGAGTTTGCTAAAATAGCCGGGAAGAGCATCGAGGATTCCATCAAATCCGAGTGCAGCGGCTCCTTACAAGAAGGATACCTGGCCATCGGTCAGTCAAGCGTTCTTATATTAGCGTACCGTCTAACTTTTCCTGATTAATTAGTGTTAAAAAATGTGTTGAGATACAAAAACTACAATCATTAATGTCCACAATGTTTTTATTAAAAAATTTTTAAAGGTGATTTATGCAACACAAGATTTTAGCTTCTATGTTTGACGTCTTATATGACCTCAACAGTTCTGAAGCTGAATATAAACCTCTTAATTTTTTTATCATACTTTTGAAATTGAATATTTCTATCTTCACTTGAACTTCAGCTAATTCTTTGGTTCGTAAAGCTTTTCATAACATTGCATTTCAGTGGAAAGCACAAAAGATACACCAGGCTATTTTGCCAGGAGACTTAAAGAGTGCTTCCAGGGTCTGGGCACCAATGACAGAGACTTGATTAGGATAATTGTCTCAAGAGCTGAGGTAATTGATGGAGGGCCTTGTAAGGGAGCTAATTGATTAACAGACAAGTCAAGAAGGGAGATAATAAGAATTATTTTGAGCACAAAATTAGGAATAGCTGATGATGTTAATTAAGTACACGGATCAGCAGAATATCAGTTTTGTTCAAAGACATGCGATTCCTTTAAAAATTATTATATTTTGAACTGAACTTGAATGTTTTACAAAACTGTCAATATATTTTGTAAAACACTGATCATCAGGATAGTTCAGTTTTCATTGCACAACTCACCCATCTCCTTGGTAACTACAAATAGAATTTGGTGAATCCAAATTTAAACAATGACATTTTTTTTACTGCATGCTTACAATTGGTGGTAGCATCCTCTCATTGATTCTTCACTGGTTTTGTCTTTGTGCTCCAGTTTTTTTTAAAGATAATTTCATATCTTTATGATCATGTTGGCAGAATGATTTTTCAATTCTTTTCCTACTTAACCTTTAACTTAATCTTTATATTAATTTTTTGTCCTTTCTTACTTTAATTAGAAAGTAGTTCCTTCTTCTGTGTTTAGGAAGCTCTGAGATATGCATTGATAGTAAATTAATGCCTTTACTTGTTCCTTAGATTGACATGGAAGAAATAGAGCATGCCTACAAGGCCAAGTACGGCACCAGCCTGATCTCAGCCATTGAAAGTGAGTGTGGTGGAGATTACAAGAAAATCCTCATTGCACTAGTCAAATTGCAAGACTAATTGGGACTACAGAGAAGCATAGTGCTCAACCAGTCATTTAAACACTTTTCTCATTTTTTTTTTATAGTTTATCAACTTCTTGATGTGACACAACATGTACTGATAACTCTGTGGTATTATTTTCTTTTTTCCCTTCTGTGATGTTTTTTATTATTTTTTATTCCCTTTCTCCACATCAAATTGACCTTATAATTCGTCTCCGGCAAACAATTTTTGCTGTGCTAAATTTAAATTTTTAAAATATTTTTTAAAATAATTATTTTTGGTTCACTTTCATTTTTCTTTAAACAAACTACTTGAGTATAACAACTACCCAAATATTTCTTTACTAGACTTTAAAAAAATAAAAATTATAGAAGTTTAAAGCACATATAAAAATATTTTAAAATAGTGGTGGGGGGTTGCCTGAAGTTTAAAATAGAAAAAAAATGAGGTCTTAAAATACTTATATCCTCTTATGACTTATGTACTAGTATTAAACATTAAATGTATTTTTGCATCAGTGGTACTGTGGTTAGAAAATAATTACTATTCTTGTTTTAACATTGATTCATTTGAGGCCTTACATCCCTTTGTTTTAATGCATTACTGCAATAAGATTTCATCAGCACTGGTATCAAAATAAAAGTCAAATATATTATGTTTATTCCTTCTCAAATATTCAATAATTTCTTATTTTTTTAAAAAAAGTAAGAAAGGTTTGTTTCTCAAGTTCTCCAAATCATTTGTTACTCTGTACTTTATTTTACCATTATTCTTTTAAGAAACCTAAATTCTGCAACCGCAGTTATTTTGAAATGCAAAATTACTGTGTAAAACCTCAGCATTTATGCCATTTTTATAATTTACATTGTTTTTAAAAGTTAAATGAGATCAGTTGATTAGACACTAAATAAAATTAACTTAGAAGCTAAAAAAAACATTTAAAACTCCACAACTCTATTGTTTAAATAAAATAAACATGTACACCACAGACATAATTATACTAAAAAGGAAACTAACACTAGAGGCAAATATTTGTCATATTTTAGTTATTTTGTTATTTCTAAAGATGTGCACAAGTGAAAAATGATGAAAGTATCTGAAAGATGAGATGAACTTGATGATGGCTATATACAGTATGCTACAATAGCTGCACCTGCCTCACTACAGCCAGAGGACCCAATGCAGGCACATCTAACACATGGTGGTCACCACTTATTACATTACATTAGCCAATCTATGTACCAGCCTGACATGTTTCTAACATGTGTGGCTTTAAAGGGTTTAACAAAAAAAAAATTGAAGTATGAACAATAGTAAATTGGCCGTATTCAACCTATGTCTGGACATAGTATATATATATATTATATATATATATATATATTGTACATTCCCGCCCATTTCAGGACTTAAATTCAATAAAATTTGGTAAAATCTATTACTTAGAATAACATGACATAAAAAAGTTAAATGAGATAATTGTACAAGTGAATGGCTGTGATCTAACAGAAAAACATGAGATTAACAGCATTAATATCTTGTTTTAGATGCTGCTGTTCTGATAAAATATCATAACATAATCAAAGTCAATCTGATAGATGACTTTTCTTTTTCAATATTTGATAAGGGGTGGAGGGGGGGAAATCTGTACAATAATCACCATTCCATTAGGTTTCCTGTTTAATTATTTATGTTTCAAGGGGGGTGGGGGTATCTTGTGTTGATAAATTATGTTATAATGGCAAAAATGTTAACAATTAACTTGACATCACACAAATTTCATTGGCTAGGCTACCAGTTGACTGATTATTTTACAATTGCTACAAGAATTTGTACAAATTAGAAATCCTAGACAGAAGTTCTGTCATGCTACATAAATAATAAAATTTTAAAAAATCATTAATTCATCATTTACTGTGCCAAAGTCCAATATGTTGACACGTAGGCACTTACAACTACCAAAACCAACATCAAATTTTTTTTTTTTACATATGCACTGACTCACAACTGTTGATGTATACAATTGCTCTATATGCTAATTATCATATTAAATCATGGAGAAAATATATATACACACTAACATTGTTCAATGGAAAGGCTAACATGTGAAGACAATGATCAACTTTATGTGGACTCTCTCAAAGGTATTGATGACCCGTGGTTTACCTATTGCTCAACCACAGGTCACTGGATGTGTTCAGAAGCTGACACATTTTTTTTCTTAAAACTTCAGCAAAATAGAAATAAAAAAAACAATCTCCTGTTTGACACTCAACCTGAATTATTAACTAGCTATTGGAGAGCATACATAGTAAAATTTAATAAGATGGCAGAAGTATCAACCACATAGAAACAGCTAGAGGAAATAGGCTGAGGTTACCTGTAGCTAAATAAGCCCCAAGCCCCATGCTGGTATTCCATGCCAGCCAAACCTTGTAGAACACATCCAAACATATGGTTCATAATGATTATGCAAGAAACAGAATTAAAACAAAAATTTGGCAATTTAAACAAGTTAGTTGAAAAGTGAGGAAGATGAACTATCACAAGTCACATGACATCTGAAAATCTGTATTCTTTTCATATGAGTCATCTGCGTAGATTTATACATGTGCAAATACAGTTTGAATGCACAGGACAAAAAACATGGAACCAAACCTGTTAATTTAAGAGTTTATGTACCTTAAGCATGAACAAAAAGTATGTACATTTGTATGAAAATAGAAATGATTTTTTTTCTATGTGTACATAGATAAACCATGAAGAGCAAGTCAAATAACTAGCTTGGATTCTAACCCCACACAAACATAGCATACGCACAATGAAAACTGGCTTAATTGAAATCATTTATCAGGCAATATCGTCTGTAGGTGTATGCCCAGAGGGGCTAGAAACATTCAGCCTGTTTAAATCTTAAACAATCACTGATTCTGACCCCCTTTAAGTTTTTAGTTTTATCTTGGAAAAATTTGGTTATTTATTTGCTTTCCAGAGCTTAGGAAAAAAAAAACATGCAAAATTTTCATTTGAACTAACATAAAAAGTTCAATTTTTATAGCTGTTGAAACTGATAGGCCTAATTCTGATTTTGGTGTTATTTATTTAAACTTGTGGTCAAAATAAAACAAAAATTAAATCGTTTTTACAACTTTTTAATTGACTGGTTCCTAGGTCAGCCATTGACGTTTCAAGCATTCTTATTCAAATGCTTTTCCTGATGCAAGAAGTTTGTTTTCTATAATATAAAACATTTTTATTAAAATTAAGTTACTACTGTCCATGGTTTATCAGCAAATGACAAAAAATAAATTTAAAAAATAAAGTTTACATCTTAAGGAAGATTTTATGAATTATAGTTGAATTAATTGATATCCCTCAAAGATAAGATTTTATAAAAATCTCCACTGCCACTTACTGAGGACATAACCCTTTCGTTTTAAATTTAACAATAGATTAAATCGAGGAAAGACAAACCAAAGCTCATGTTATAGGTACCAGACACACAAATGAGTACTGTGAAAATCGCAAACACATGGCTGTAAAATAACATCCTAGCACAAATGTAGATTCATAAGTAACATAAAAAAAAGAACATTAAATTTCAATTTCACAGGTACTGATCCTAAGTGCAAATATCTGTTATTTCCATTTACTGTCGCTCTCCTGTAAATAGTGTATAATTTTTAAAAAACAAAACAGGTTTGTGATTTCTTAAATGAATAGTGTTCTATTTCTTTGTCGATAGTTATGGAACATGGGACCAATCAATAACTCACAGATTAGGGCAATTTCTTATTGCCAGATGGGATCAAGAAATTTAACAGCAATCGTATATTAAAGATCATTGGTTTGGACAATTAAAGAATATGACAGTTTGCTGTTTTTCCAAGATAACATCAGTGACAATAACCAAACCAAACTTGTCCACAAGCACAACAATTTCTAGCAACTAGATAGCATTGCAAATAACACCAGCAATTATATATAAATAAATTCTATATATATCAACTGATCAGCCCTAAGTTCATACTTCAGTCAGTCACACTTTCAATAAATAAGAAGCTGGGCCTATTTGTTGCTATGGCACAATTAATAGCCACCTCTGCTTTCAGTGTTATTTGTAACATTCAACATAGGAGTCCCAACATGATGCTATCTATGTTGCTGCACTTTGCGTCGTTTACTTGCACTTTGATCCTGAGAGTTATCTGGAAAAAAAAATATATATATAAAAAACAATAATCAAAAAGTAAGATGGAACTTGAAGGATATTACTGTAACAAGCAATAATTAGGTGGGTTCTTTTCTTTTAGTTGTTTTTTTTTTTCTTTTGATACTTGTATATGGTTTAATTCATACGGAACACTTGTTGAGACAAATAAGCATACAGATCATTGACAGCTCTTAGCAGTTTTGGAAAACTCTTAGCAGCAAGGTCAACAGTTGATGCAATGTCAAAAAAAATTCAACAAGTAACCTACGCAACTTCAGACCTGTTTACCATTGAACACCAAAAATTGTACAATACTGTATAAACATCGTACAATAAAGTACCTTTATAGTAAATAAACATACCCTATATATAATGTATATAATAACTACTTGCATCGCGTGTCTAGCGTCAAAAAAGGTAACTTCTAAAAGTACATGACTGACGCTTATATTGGAATCTGCCGTCACTTTGTTTTGCTTTAGATATCAATTAATATTTACGTGAACGTGCAGATAACAGTATCCCAGTCCGTCACTGGTAAAATAAAGTTACTGGTGAAATTTAATGTGGTTCAAACTCGAAGTCAGATCAGTATAAAATAAAATGTAACTTGGAGATTTATTTTTTTAGGAAAATATTTTGTTTTTTAATAAATAAGAATCAATATCAATTATGCCTATTTCCCGTTAAAATGTTACAGTCCGATAATACCACAAGCTGTAAATGGATGAAAGGAAGGAGGGTATTGAGCATGGGCCATGAGAACGGGACAAAGAGCAACAGGCGCCAAAATTGTCTTTATGAAAGGATCTTCATAGTGAATTCAAATATAAAATTCCTGTTTACTTCACAAAGACAAGGGGCGCTAAAATAGTCCTTTAACTGATCTGCCACTGGGGTCCACATTTTTCTACATGGGTTGCTGCTGCTTTCTCACGGGGGTCTTAGAAAATATTACAAAATCTTCATTATTTTATGTCCACTTTTAATCCAATGTGTCATATTTCAGTTGTGGTGCAAATAGTAACACAGTTGAGTACTAATGTTTGCAGTTATTAGATGACGTTTAGAATACATATGGGTTATATTTATTTTTTACCCAACCCTTTATTTTATTTTGTTTATGTATGCGCTATTACCAAGTGTATTTGTTAGAATTTAACACAGGAAGCCAGGTGAGTACATAAAATTGGCATAGGTGTAGGAAAACAAAAATTTTAGAGCCACTGGCGTAGCCCAACAAAATATGTCATATGCACTTTGAACAAATGTCACATGCATTTTGAATAAATGGTGGACTAAATTTTACTTTTAATACCTCTACTACTGAGTTCTATCTGAGCTATTTTTTGGACTTTCAGGATGAATATTGTAGTTTTTAATAACTTGCATACTTTCTGAAGTGACCCACACCCCCCAATATTATACAAAAATGTGGCTGTGGCGATGTTAATACTTAAACATTTAGACACATCCTTTCCCCCTTTTACACAAAATCTTATCAACATCACTTCTCCTCTCAGGGCAAACGTAATAAAATTATGGATTGGTCCCCAACCAATCTTATTTCTTGATCCATTCACTGCTGGATGTAGAATGCAAATTCAAGTTAAAACTAACAACTGTAGATTCACATTTTAATTAAAAATGTTTAAATATGAAAAAAATATAGGAATGTATATATTTTCAACCAGGTCTCTTAAACTTGTAGTTCTGATGGGTCTTGGCGTAAAAGTGTAAAAGACATCTCAAATCATACATTGGACACCAAAATTTAAGAGTAAACAGGTCTGCAACTTCAATGAAACTGCTAACATATAAATTGATCAACACACAGGATAATGTCAAAATATGTTCAGAACGCATGTTCATGTTAAGGCAAAACTTTATCATTTACAGCCAGCACCAATTATTGCGATTGTCCAAGGTTCAAGGTGTATTTTGAAAAGAAGCTTTGATTAATGATCATTAATCAAAGTTATTAAATGTGAATAAAAGCACACACCTTTAGTTCTAACTGATCGGGTTGGTCGCTTAGCCCCGGCACTATCAGGGTTTCCCTCTGATTTTCCTGGTGCTGGTGGTGCTGCCAGCTGATTAGGTTCTAAATGATTGGATTCATTGTTAGAAGAGCCATCTTGTGTGTCTTGGGTATCTGTGGGTTTGTTTTTGCTACGTGTTCGTCCACTCAAAATTGGGGTATCAAAATAAGCTAAAGAGAAAGCGGGGAGAGAAAAAGTAATTAATATAAAAAATAATACACTCACTGAAATTTGTCAACATTACAACAAAAAAAATACATATTTTTTAAATAACTGTATCAATGTATTTTGTAGACTGTGAATTTACAGTCTAAGGAAAAAAAAATGTTTGTATATATCAGTAATAAAACATAAAGTCTGTGAAAAGATTAGTGATGTGTTAGAAGATAAAATGCTGATTTTTTTATATAAGCCTACTACAGTCATAATCATGACATATTTTAGCTGATTTTCATTCAGTTTAATTCGACCAACTATATTATTTGTTCAAAGAGATATTTTGAAATGCCAGTTTACACTAATACTTTAGATAAATGTATGCAGTTAAATCTATTGAGAATGTTTTCAGGATATCAATTAGGTTAGAACTGCTCAAAGAAACAAATTATATCATGTGTCTGGTATATGAATTTTTAACATTGAAATTGTTAAATATGCAGTCTGGAGATGGGAAACACTTACTCTGATCAATTGATTTCTCAGGGACATATGCATAGAACTGTCGTCTGATACGATGACTCTTCTTCTGGCCATCTTCACCCACTTTGTCTTGTGCAGCAGACTTATCTAATAATTCCTTCACAGGTCCAGATTTTGCTTTAATGTCATCAGCAGATGATGCACGCTGAGAACGTCCTTCTTTCTGATCCTCCTTGTCAAGGAATCTATTCTCTTTATGAAGGCTCTCTTTGAAATCACTGGATGATGCCCGATGTACACGCATTTCTTTATCCTCAGCAGTCTTCTGTGTGCGACCTTCGCCGTCAGCTGTGTTATGATTAGTTCGACTTTCCTTGTTTGTGGACTCTTTACTTTCATTGGAAGAAGATCGATTAGATCTACATTCGTCTGAAGAACAGGATGTGCCAGATCTTCTTCCCTCTCTTGCACCAGTTTGCTCTTTATCTTCCGAAAGAGATGCCCTGCGGGGTTTGGCAGGTCGTGTACTGTCTTTATCTTCCTGAGAATGTCCAGATGACATTTTAAGAACTTTGTTCTGTAGATCGCCATTACCGAAATTGGCAGCTTTAGAGTATGTCTTCAAAGTGCTGACATCTTTAAAAGGCTTGCTTGCAGATTCCATTTTAGAATGAGAACTTGGACCAGAAGAGATTGTTTTCTTTAGGGTTTTTACATGACTTGCACTAGCAGGCTGTTTCGTAGGAGTAGATTCACTAGAAGATGTTTCACTTTCAGCATCTCCCTCACTATGGGTCGACTTCCTTTTCCTTGTTACTCTCCTGATGGAAGCTTCTAAACTGCTGGCATCAGACATTTGTGGCTCTACATTGGTGAGGGACTTGACACTTATGTCAAGTGACTTTGATGGACTACTCTCAACCGTTACCATTTTACAATCACTAACCGCATATTTTTCTCCCGTTGTTTTTTCCTCAGCCTTGTCAACCGGCAAGGAAGTCTTATTTTCCCCTAATGACAAAGCAACAGATTTTGTGTAAGGTGAGGACTGTGTCCCCAACGTTGAAGCAAATGTTTCCAAAATAGGATCTTTAACTGTAGACAAAGATGTTGGCCCCTTGGGTGTATTCTTCTCAGTTCCTGCTGCAACTGAAGCAATCGTTTCAGCTACATTATCTGTGCAGTTTTGAGTGGTAATTTCAGGACAAGGCTTGCATGAGGTAGTTGTTTGACCTGCCTGAGGGCATGAAGACTCCTGGGAGTCATGTGTTTTAGACTCATCCACAGAGGAATCCTCCTTTGAATTATTTGTTGACTTAGACACCACCGTTGTGTCGGAGCTTTGAACTGAGGCCAGAGAAACCTTTGTTTTACTACACACTAATGCAGCTGAACTAGTTAAGTCACTTGAGGAATTAGTTGTTTTAACAGAACTCACACTCTTGGATACATCCGCTTTGTTGGCCTGAGAGGAACCCGGTGGCAGAGTGTTACCCTCTGTCTCAGGAAGCTTCTGCCTCATCGTCCTTGATATCCACTCTGAAGTGGATTCTGTGGCCTTCGTTAAGCTAGCGGACATAATGGAAGATTGGTTCAAATGAGATGTTAGTGGCCCACTTTGAATATTGTCACATACAAGAGCCCCAGAAACGCTTTCAAATAAATTTCTATTATTAAATTGGGAGCCTGTCCTTGGTGATAAGGGAAAGGGATTTAAAGGCAGTGATACTTTAGTCAGCTTTGGGGGAGACGACAAATCCGAGGAGGCTTTTAATGTTGGTAGACAAGACTGGGTTGCGACCAAAGTTGTTTCATGTTTTCCAGCAGCAACAGTGCTTGCAGCTGACATGGGATACAATGTTGGTAAAGGTCCAGGGGAACTACAAGAAGTTAATTTAGTTGCTGTGGCACTGTCTGTGGTGCTCAATGTGCTACTGGGGTAAGGCACATAAAGTGCTGACACTGCTGCACTAGAGGTGGAAGGTATGCTGCTGCCAATACAAACCTGTGAGATCTCTTGAGGTGAGCTGATGGAGGGAGAATGACTAGAAATGCTGGGTACACCAATGGCTGAGTTCACTACTGGCTCCTGCCCCTGTTGCAAGATGGGCATAATTGGGGAAGATGCATTGGAATGGCTGGTGAGAATGCTTGCTGCAGCACCTGCACCATTATTGTCATGACTGGAATGGGCATTATCGGAGGCAGCAAGGGGCTGCGCTGCCAGTCTCGAAAGGACTGAACTATTGTCTGAGACAGTTGCTGTCACATGATTGCTCCCCATCTCAAGCTGAATAACTTTGGTTGCAGCAGACACCTTATGCTCCTGGCTCTTAATGTTACACTGAGAAACTCTTGAGTCTTGAGAAGAAAGGTAAGGTGTTTCAAACTTTGACTTAGAGGAAAACAAAGCGGACTGGCTATTTTGTGCTGTATTACTTTGATCTCTGAAGTCATGATGAAAGTGACTGCTGTTAGAGGATATTTCTCGAGCCTTGTGTGGAGGATAACTCTTAGACAGCATTTTCCCACTGTATGTTTTGGTGTCTAAGGCAAGTTTAGGAGGCGAATGAGGGTTTGGTGCGGAGATTGAATCTTTTAGAAGCACATCTGCTGCAAGAAGAGGAACCCCAGACTTACAATTGACAAGGACACCATCACCACTGTGGCCAGATGTGTACGGAAGGGCAGAGAGTCCCGCAAGGTCTAATCCACCAGACAAGAGAGAGTGTTTATCACTAGGTACCAGCTTTGGCATACTTGCCCCCGGTGAACGAGTGCCACTTTGAAGAGACATACGTGATGTGGTGGGACCATTGGTTCCAGATGATGCCCTGGGAGGAGTTCCAGCAGCAGGAGACTTGCATGTCCGCACATGAGGAATAGTCACAGATGACTCAGAAGCTGGCAGAGGTTTCACGAGCCTCTGCACAGACTCTGTGAGACGGCGGGGAAGCGGTAAGCCTGGAGCATAAATGTGGTTAAGCATGTTGACATTGACCGGGGAGGATCTTTTTGAATAGATGGAAGTGATATTGTTTCCTCCAACTCCTCCATTGCCTAGAGTAGTTTTCCCATTAACCAATTCCTCCATGTCAAAAAAGAGGCTGTCTGCTCGCTCCTCTGGACCGCCTGTCCGCGACAGCGAATCCGGCGAATCTGCTTTTTCTAAACTGTTTCCTTTAGTGCCAATCTCAGCAGTAATTTTGGTGGACTCTGCAAACTGATGGAGTTTACTCATTTTCTCAAAGACCTCAGCTTGAAGTTTAATATGCTCAGTAGATATATCTGCATTCAAAAGATGATAGAAAATTAGTTGATTTTATATTAGTAGCTTTGTGTAAATTGTAAAAATTAAATATCATCTTAAATTTTAAAAAGAATTTAAAATAGTTTTTTAAAAATTATTGAAAATATTTTTCACTGGGCAATGATACTTTATAATTAGTCATTTTTTATTTAAAGACATGATTAAGTAATTTAGAAATGATACTTAAAACACACTGCAGTGAAATTTTTTAAAATAAATAACATGTATATGTGGATCCTTTACAAACAGTAAGTTCCATTTACATAACAAATGAGGTCAAAATAAGTATTGTAATTGTAAAGCTTTTTTCCCCACCCTAATAAAATACAGTTATTAACCCAAATACAGTAACTAGATGGGTTTTTTTTTCTTCTCTTTTTTTGTTAATTTCTTTAGAAGACCAAACTCTCTAAAGATATAAAGACATTGGAAATTAAAAAAAAATACCTTTCTTACTAAGCTGCTTTGGTGAGCTTCTGAACTTCTTTTGCTGGGAGTCATTGACACTAATCATCATTTTATCAATATTGCCTGCTGCTAAAGGACCATTCAATTTCTGGGTGTGAATGTTGTCCTGATGAGGTTCAAGAAATAAAATATTAACCTTAAACAAGCATTTTTCATATTATACACTGAATAGTATATAAGCCCATTTTTTGTGTTTTTTTAAAGCTATAATTATTAAAATGGTGAAAGGAAAAAGCATCTGGGAAAATAATTAAAACTTCATTGAAAAGTTGAAATTTAATTTAAGAAATGATCACCGACCAATTTATTGAACATTTAATTACATTCTACACCCATTAAATTTTTGACTTGGTATTAAAAATGAAAATAAAATGTTCACCTTCAAATGAAAATAACAAATGTAATTAAATTAAATTTCTTTAAACACAAACTTTAATATATAATGTCAATAGATTTTATTTTACCCTGTAAAGATTCATAAACCAAAATAGTTAATGTTAATATCCCCAAAACCAAAGAAACTACCCCAAGTAAAATGGGATTCTTGCTTTTTTTTCTTATTTGAAAGGAGAATATAGTTGCAAATATTGTTTTTTAAACTTATTTGCAAATAAGACAAATTTAGAAACACTACCAAAAATGTTTAAAAAAATAAACGAGCAGCAAAATTCCTTTTTTCTACAAAAAATATTCCACATTGCTTTGCAAAAAAAATTATTATTCATGATAACCAAAATTTGATTTGATGATTATATTTAAAATTTAATTTTTAGATGGAGAATTCATGGAGAAATGCTTAAAATAAATGTAACAATTTAAGGAAATAACTAAATAACCTTAATTGAAATAAGAAAAATGATTACTGAAATAAAAAAGAATGATACTCAATGACCTGGAGAAGCTCTTTTCCTTCATATTAATCCCATGGCAGTTTACTAGCAATACCACTGCTAACCCATTGTCTTGGGATAATTTATATACAATAATTTATATCATCAATATATAGAGGGAAAAAATCATTAATAAGTCAGTGATTTTACTGGGTATGTATATTTATTTACTGAGATACAGATCATGCCAGTTAGTTTTCATAGTTCCAGTGTTGTATTTTTTTCTTTCTTTCTTTCTGTTTTAAACACAGGTCAAAAAATATTTAAAAAATAGAGCAAATTTTTTAAAAGTATGTTCACACTTGGGCTTTGTTTCTTCAAGTCTCAACTTTGTGACCATGCGCCACTTGCTGCAACAAAATCAGGGACACAGTTTCATTTTCACAGGTTTTTTTTTAGTGTAGGCAATATACAGACGCAGTAGCGCCATATTTTTCTCAGTGGGTGTGCGTTTTCAACTGATGGGTTAGTGGTATAGCAGTCAGAAAATGGAGTGGTCATTAAAAAATATGAGATATTTAAAATAATCTGACTTGCTTGTAAATTATATAAACGGTAGTAGCAATATTTTGTTGTTTGAAGATTAAAATTTGTGAAGCAAATTTCAAGTTTGATTTCATGGGAGTAGGTGAGAAAAGATTGTACAGAAACATGCAGCAGCAGGTGGCAGAGCATTTACAAAATATTTTTTTTAATATTTAAAACTGATAACTATAAACAAAAGTTATGCATCAGTTGCCATAGTTGTGCCAGCTCAATGTGAACACCAATGTGCGATATCTGTGTCATGGATTCTCAACATGGATTCACCTCTGAGCTTTGTGGCTCCAACAAATTTGCAGTGTGAATGTACCTTTAGTGATTATTTAGGCTTTGGTTGGTGAGATTTATTAATTTATTTCAGCAAAAAATATTGCATGCGGACGTATAAAACTATACAGACATTGGCATAAGTATACAACTTTTAAAAATTATTTAAAATATAAAATTTTTAAATTGAAACATGGTGTAAATCATAAATATATTATTTGGCCCTAGAACTGAGTAACTGTTAAAATAGTTTGGGTTATCATTTTGACAATGCAAGCTTTATTTTCATGAAGTCATACAACTTTTATAGCTCAGAAACTTTTTATTTCAAAATAATTCAACAATATTTATGATCCATAGACTTTTTACATGCCAATTAATGAAACAATAAAATTACTTATATTTAATCATTTCAAATACTATATTCATCTGTTATCAAAAACATACCATGTCTTCAGGTGTAGGGCCATTCTCCTTTGCCTTTCCTGAAGAGCTGCTGTTGAAGTGAATTTTATTATCCGTTACCCAACTGACAGATGCAGACGTTTGTTGACCACTATGGTGATCCAAGGTCTTGCTTTGAGTGTCCAAAAATTGTGAAATATCAGATGTTGATGCAATCCGTGATGGGGTTGTTACCGTCTTTTTATTCATGTGACTGTTATATTTAGGCAAGGACATTTTGGGATGAGATGCGCTTTCCCCTGGATTTATCATGTAACCTACTGTGATGGTGTTGGGAGTCAATTTTGAATCCAGCTTGCAGTTTGCTGATTTTGTGGACTGGGCTTTGATGTTTGATTCATCATTTTCTGTTCCTGCATGGCCAGAACGAAATTCATCACCAGGTTCAGACGGAGTATCATCTGATCTTTCTGATGAACTCCCAATACCAGAGTCATGATTTTCAATTTTCACTCCAGCATGTTCTAATAATGCAGTAGTGCCTGAATGTTCTGGTAGAGAGTCAGTAGCTAGGCCACTATGATTGGAGTTCTCGTCTCCTTCTGAAGAAACCTTTTCATGTGGACTTTCTGTGCTACTCTGAGAGTCCATATGTTTTTCAGATATAGAATTGAGCAAATGAGAAGAGCTGAATTTGGTGGCATGAACGCTACCAATCATATCAGAACTTGCTGCCTGATGCTGTGTGTAAGACAATGATGCTGTCCTGTCTGATGTTGCATGAGCCACAGCTGAAGATGGTGAAGAAAATGGTTTAGTAGAGTGTAGCAATGGATATGAGGGTGTGGGTCGACTTCTCGATAATGCAGGTGATGCTGATTCACTGGCTGGAGAAATGGACACAGCCTGATGAATTTGAGGTTGAGAAAAACTAACTTGTGAAATCTGAAGTGAAACAGAAGAACTTGAAGAGTAAATCACAGATCCCGAAGGAGCAGAGGGCAATCCACAAGTCAATGAAGAAGTCTCAATAAGCTCATTCTGTGACGGAATCACATTGTGCCTTAACACATTCCCACTCAACACCGGTCCATTTACAGGGGAAGGTGTTGAAGGTAAGTCTTTTTGAACAACTGCACTTTTACCAGATGCAACTTTCAGTGATGTATTTACTATAGAATGTGACAATGATGGTTCTGCTATATTACCAAATATTTCCTGCCTTGAAGTCACTGCATAGATACTAGACTGAGCTGAACTTTTCATATTGTGAATAGAACCATCACTTATTAAATTGCGACGATGAATAGGAATTGATGACGTTAGCCTCTCATTTGAAACTTGAAAAGATCCACCTGAGCGCACAAAACCAGCAGTAGAATTGGAAAAGGGATGAGGGGTAGGACTAACTGTTCTGACATGAACATCTGACATTTGGGATGAACTACTAGGCACACTAATTTTGTTCAACTCCTCAATTTCTTTTGCCTTCCTTGCAAGGATTTGAGTAGCGAAATTATCACCCTGAGAATGGCCAGGTTGGTCTTTAGCTCGAACCTGACCAGTTTCAACACTACTGTCTCTCGGTTCTAGCTTTCCAGTGTAAGGATTGACAATCTTCCCTGCTGCATTTTCCACTGTGAAAGGGTCCAAATCTTTCAAATCCTTCGGTAGCTGATCACTCCCATTTGAATCTGAAAGTTTAGAGCTCGTGTTGCCAGTTCCTATTGCACTTCTACTGTTGGTTTCCAGCTGAAATTTGTAAAAAGAAAGATTATCCTTGTGACTTTCACCGAAAGGACGGTCGGCTGAAAATGAAGGTTTACTGTCAGGGCGAAAACTGGGTATGAAGGAATCTGGTATATGACTAGCAGGTTGTGATCCTGCCCTGGATTGTAGTTCAACAGATGAGTCTTTCATGTTAAATGATGTGGGCAAATTAAGTGTTCCACTGTCATCAGGCACCCTGATGACCCGATTTAAGTCTGTACCCGAGTTGGAGAGCAGATGAGAGAAAACAGGCTTGCTGCTGGCCATGTTGTCAGTCACAGAAAAGGGTTTAACATGTCCATCTTTTGATTTCTTAGAACGCTTTTTCTTTTTGGGAGGGGGTCCAGGGTCTCCAACTGATATGGGTTTATTAGGGTTGCCACTTGCCATTCCAGCAGCCACCACTAAAGGATCAGTCTGTAGCAAATTAACCAAGAGGGGACTGGAAGCTGTTACTGGCTTTCCGGGCCTAGAACTATTGTTATGAGGATATGGGGGAGGTGGGGGAAGGTCAATCATCATGTTCGATGTAGGGGAGGCTGAAAGGGTTGGTGGTATAAGAGAATTTTGGGAATGGAAATTAGGACTTAAAGATGCTGGATGTCTCAATGGCCCCACAGGGCTGAAGCTATGGACACTAGGTGGTAAGGACTGTTGGCTGGTTGCATTAACAGTGTGGCTTACTTGAAAACCCAAGGCACCCGGTTGCCCCACAGGTCTGTTCCCTTGCTGTGTGAGCTTGGGGACTAAATTCGACTGACCTGCTGAAACAGGAAGGCGGGGGATTGGAGGATGAAAAGCTCCAGTAGATTTATTGAAAGGAAAGCTTAATGCAGACCCCCTAAGACCTGAACTCTGCACTGCAATGTTAGAAATGTTATTAGGTCTGAATGAGGAGGTGTGTACTGGAGGGCCTGGGAACCCTGTCGAGTGTGGGGAAATCCCCAGACCTATGCCAAGCCCTGTGGACGATGAAGACCCCACTCCCAATATTGAATCAAAAAGGGAAGCATTTGGTCGCAATGCGGATCCCTGCCTCAAATAGTCAACAATGTTTTTCCTTGTCACTTCATCCGCATTAGGACCTGGAGAGGAACCAAGTTCATCTGGAATTGAAAAACCAGGTTCTGAACTCACAGTGCTAATGGGTAAAGCTGACGGGGTGCGTAAAACAAACTCTGTAGGTTCATTGTTTCGGCCAGCCAGGGTAAGAGAAATTTGTGTATCTCCTTGAATTTGCACAGACAGGATTCCCATCTGCCGCAAGGAATCATTTCCATTATGAGCTAGTTGCCTGAGTCTGCTGGCTGCCTCTCTAGGAATAGTTAAAGTCACTTTAACACTATTCCATGGTTCCACTTTCTTCACCAGCAACTTGTGCTTCTCTGGAATGTAGAATTATGTAAAATTAATTTTTAAAAAAAACAACTAATTCTGACAATGTACAGTTATTATATAAGCACATAAGAGAAAAACAAATTAACGTTTAAAAAGAAAAGATCTAAAAACTGATACATGGCTAGAGTTATCACACTTGAATGACAGCATTTCCCCATATTTTTTTTTTATCGGCAAGAGACTTTGACTTATAAATGGTGCAATATACTAAACATCACCAGGAAATTGAAAATTATGATTTTGATATACTATTATTCGATGAATTATGTTTTATAACCTCAAAGTTTTTATTTAAATTTTCAATTCCAATAACAGTTTTGCATAGCGACTTTTAAAAAAAAATCTTTAATTTAATAATAAATGGTGGTGTTAAAAAAAAAAATTTAGTTAAGTAATTCATTATTTAATACAACTTTAAGTTCAATGACATCAAGATTTTTACCAGTTAGAAGCAAATCCTTCAGACAAAGTCTGAACTTTTCTATTCTGCTGTATAATTCTGGGTCGTGGAAGTCGCCCTCACATGTCAGCACTGCTTCCACGACATCCTCCTCCTGACCCATCGCGCCATCCATGAGACGCACACCTACAAAACAAAGTAATCTTTCTTAGGTATTACATTACTTTAACAAAAAATATTCTTTTTATTTAAAAGACAAAAATTATTGAATGGCTTAAATAAGTAAGTTGTACTATATATATTAACAGGGACTAAATGTTGCTATTAAGCAATTGTGACTTAAACTTAGAATGGTTTCATTTACATAATTTTATTTAAGATGCAGCATACAAGAAAACCAAAGTGACATGCACTAGCATTTTGTTTTGCTATTCTATACAATTTTAGAAATGACATTCTAAAATTGCTAGATACATATAAGTCAAAATAAGTAAAAGAGTCAAGTTAATTCTAATAATCCATGTGAATTCCATAAAATAAGAAAAAAATAAAATTATCAAAACATTTTCATCAATGGGCCAAACAAATATAATTAGAAAGCTAAAACAACTGAAAATTATTTAAATTTTAAGATAAGTACAACAAAATTTGCCAAAAAAAGGTTAATTAATAGCATGTAAGCCATGCTAAAGACAAAATATGTATCTAATGATTATAACCAGTGTTTGGTTTACAGCTTACTTAACTACTGTAGACGAGAGCGACAGGCTTCCAAAAGCTTTTTTAAAATTAAATATTAAGTGTAGTTTTTCAAGATATTCTTTGGTATGAATTAACCAGTTTTTAGAAAATGGTTATCCAACTATTTTAGGTTAGGGGTGGTGACTGCTAAGATGCTTGGCAGGGTAAGGGGAAAGTGCATAAAGGGGAGGGGTCGTGCAATGCTTGACTAGGGGGATGTAAATTAAGAAGGGGGGGATATAGAAAGAGATAGTAGGGGGTAAGAGGGGATCCATTAGGGTTAGAATGCATGAGGGTTTGAGAGGAGGGGGTGTGGCATGAAGACTGTCAGAGTTAGGGATATTGATTACATAATGAGGACTTAGATTCAATACATGTTATCATCTTTAACCATGGCCACTCTATAGTAGATAATTGCTCTATGTCCTTTGTATAGCAGACCCTGGAATATCTTACAATCTTGTTTCTGAATATTTTTAGAGAATTAATAGAAAGATGATTTCATGTAAAAAAAATAATATTGATTGTTTGGTATTATTCATAAACCATTCTGTGGAATAAGGATATTTATGTATTTTGAATATCTAATAAAAGCCATGTTTCAGCTACTCAAGATTTACTAGAATTATAAACTTTAAATATGAAAACATTGAATAATTTTTTTTTTTAAATACAGCTGTGTATTTAAATACTGAAAATGAGTTCAATTATAAAGAAATGATGGACCAATAATTATGATTAAGAATACACGTTCATATGTCTTGATAACAAATTTTATTCTACTAATATACAAAATCAATTTAAAATACCCAAAAGAAATAATGGGCAAACTTTTTAAAATTATATATAACATAAGCCTATGTATAATGTTAGATTAGGCAGCACACATTTAAGATATAAGCCTGGTGATATGCCTAAGTAATATTTTTACAACTAAGGGTAAATTCCAAAAATAAAGATTTGAGACCACCAATTTAAAAATAATAAATTAGCCCATAAATAATAAAAATCCTTTGTTGTCTTTTAAACACCCTTAGTAATTATTTATACTGGTATATCCATACAAATTTAACCATTATAGACTTATGAATGATGGTATGGTTATTTTTGCATTTAAAAAAATAAAATGTTTCATTACCTGTCATAACAATGACATTACACTTCATTCTCTCCTAAACTTAAACCATAAGTACTAGGCATGAAATTAAAGACATCTATGCCTACAGACTATAAGTATATAATCTATATGTCCCCTCTCTCAACAGTTACCCATCATAGCCATTATGATTGGGGGGGAGGTGCCAAATGCTTTATATCAGCAGTCCTTATGAATCTATGATGACCATGCATTGGCCTACCTTCCTTTCTTTTTATCTAGGCCTACTACTAAACTAAGGCTACTTTATTCTAATCATATTAATAATAATTAATGGTTGTTAAGGGTCGGGCCAATAATTAAATAATTATTAAACTTCAACAATATTAATATTAATTTTGAGTGTCCAGTCTCAGTCATATTTTAATTTCAAAATTTTGACTTTAAAGTAAGGAATGTGTCAGGAGAGAATATGATATGTACAAAACTGACTATACTGTTCCTTAGTTTCCAATTACCAACGTTAGATATATTTGACTTATTTTAAAACTAATAAAAAGTAGGAGCCTAATGACAGGTGGGGGACTTACCTCTACTTCTATACTAGTCATTGAGTTGAGCACTGATAAAATAATAATACTGAATTTCATTTCTTCCTAAATTTACTTTTTTTTTTTTTTTATATTTAAAGTTTGTGCCACAATGCACTTGCGTAAATAAATGCAACGATAGCCTACTCATATTTAGTAGACCTATGCCTATATTTATATCAAATTCTAATATTCAAGAAAATTGATGTTGGACCTGGTCAAATTGCATAGCAGTAAAATACAATATACGAACGTTTCAGAAAAATATTATAACCAAATGTTCTAATTAAATTAATTATTTGATATTAATCAGATGTTTTAAAACAGCCAGAAATTAAAAATATGTGATTAAGGGAAAAATAAAAGTTTCATTCAACAAGAATTAGAATGAAATAAGGTTTTATCTCACGGGTCGGCCTTGCTGGCAAATTTGCAGTCATGGCCGGAAAAGGCTCACTAAGGCGCGACTTGAATTGTGGATTTTTAAAATTTCTTGCAATTAATTTCAGAAGTATTGAAAAATAATCAAAGTATTCATTATACTGCACTTAGAGGGTGAATCTTTTACCTATGTAGGTGTCCAAAAATTGTTATAAATTCCCATGTATCACAAACGCCATGGAACAATAACAAGTGCCGCCATTTGCAATGGTTCCAAAACGCATGCGCAATAGCCGACAGAATTCTGGGAGGGAGTGAGGCCAGAGTATTGAGGACGCGCGATTTGACCGACTATCGAATTTGTTATGCGTTTTTATGATATTAAATATCAATAATTAACAGCAAATAAGTTGAATTAAATAAATTAGTATGGAATATTTGAACGCTTTATGTATCTTTAATTCGAAATAAATAAAACAATCACTTATTTAGCTGTTATATTAGGCTTTCCTCTAATTTTGTCAACTTTTCTTTTGCGCCTTGAGTTTGAGATAATAAACCTTAATTTTATTTCTTCGCATAAAAGGGAGCCTGAATCACTCTTATGAACATTCTTTATTTAATTTCAGACATTGTGTAGTTCTTGCTAAAACGTAATTAGTGGGGAAACAACCAGTATGGGTCATAAATGATTTTTAAATTTAAAGTTGAGAAAAAAAATATATTTTATTTACTTGGACAAAGTTAGACTAGGGTGTTCTAAGTTTTCTTCGTTTTTCTGTGTTGTTTAATATTAATGGGTATAGAAGCTATTATGACTAACATATTATTACAATGTTTGGAAATATGCCTACTGGATGTAACGACTGTTTCATATCCCAAGAAAATAAGTCGCTGGTCACCAGGTGGCGTCCTTGATAGAGGTCATCAACAGACGTAATCAGGGGGGGGAGGGGGTGTTTTGCCCTTAGCTTCGCGGAGAACTCTGTTTACATATGACGTCACAGCTCTCGTGTTTGGACTCGTCAGGACAATACGTTTCAAAAGTATAAATAGTGGAGCAGAGTTTGAAAGGAACATGGTTATCTACTGTTACTCAATTTACTGAATTGAAATCATATGTCACGATGAGTGGTAGACCAAAGCGAAAAGCAGTGACAGACACTGAAGTGAGAGCAAAGAAGTTGCGAGGGGAAACAGATCTAACCGATGGACTTCGTTGGGTCAACATTGCAGATAATTATAATGGGAGGAGCGGTGGCGACGAAGATAGTCCAGTTATCGCATTAATATCAGCAACTCTCGAAGGAAGTTCAAAAGTCGCCGGTTTCGACATAGATTTTACAGTAATAAAAACAGCAAGTGGTCGCACTTTTGCAACAGGTAAGCCTAAACACTTTGTTGACTTTAAACATTAAGCAGCAATCATGATACGCAATATGATCTCTGTATCACTATCACTGTGTTATATATTATATATACTTATAAAACAATATATTATAATATATGTATTATACTTATACTTCATTATAGTATAAGTATGACTGATAGTGATAGTAGTAGTAGTCTAGTAGTAGTGATATTTACACCGAAACACGCCCCCACATTAATGAGATATTATAGTTATAGGGGCCTACATTATAAATTATATAAATTATGAATTGATCATAATAAAATAATGGCATCTATCTTAAATTTATAGAATTATATTAATACCAGCCTACATATTACATTTCCTTGGATTGAATTAGTTTCTTTTCTGGTTAAATATATTTTTAAATTAATACTACCTATTGAAGAAATAGTCTATTATGTCTATAGTATACTAGTTATAGCTCACTTAGTCAAGTTAGTGATAGCAATTAGACAGCATCAGCAATGCATGAACTTCCCATCTGCTAAAGTTACTTGACAAAACATGAACTCGAAGGGTAAAGCACATTTAAGAATCCCAATTTTCGCTACATTCCTTGCCCCCTTGATACTCACTGCACACTTTTTATTTCATGCCCATGAACTATATAAGTGTTTTAATATTCTGTGTCCCAACCACTTTTAAACCGAATATTTATTACACTATATTTTAATTGAGACGATTCAAATTTTCCGAAAAGAAATTTTTTTACGTACCAAACCCAGTTGGGCTATTTAAAATAAATATCATTTAGCTAAGTTATCGGGAATTATATTTTGCGCTCTATTGAACTCGCTACTGAGCCATGCTTTCTTTTAAACAGAGAATTATATGTAACAGAGAATTATATGTAATATAATATATTTTATTAATTATTTTACAAACCAATGATTCATGTAGCAAACGTCTTTTTATTAAATAAAGAACTCCATTACTAACTACACCATCACTGCTGCTCTTGCCAAACATAAAAACGCCCATACCAAAATTAAAGTCCTAAAATACAAAGCATATAGCAAAAGCTACGAAAATAATCTCAGTACCAAATATGCTGAATAGGAAGCAGCCAGCTTGTTATGAAGCAGCACTAAATGGAAGCAGTCTACCAGAAGCATCATACATATAAGAGATACTAAACTATATGACTTGATTATCGTCATTAAGCTTTGAGAAGTATTTTTCTGCTATATATATAATATATTATACCTACCCTTTTTTCTAAAAATTGTGAAAACATAATCTGAAATTTACAGCAAAAACTCCATATACCATTTTAAATATATTTTATACTAACGGACTTTGATATATTAATATCTTCATTCAAAATTTAACAAAAACTTATTATCGCAAAAACAAAGAATTCTTTTATCTAAAGAAGAATCTGTTAACCATTTTTCACGTCTATAACAGCTTGGGTGTCATTTTTTAAGAAATGTTTTAAATCTGAGAAAAATATACACCCACTTTACTTTTCGCAAAGCCAAAACCAAAATATATTTTCTTATTATGTAAGACAATATTGACCCATCTATATTCACGCCCAAAAAACTAAAAAAGACGTACAGCTGCACAGATGGCTCAGCACTGGAATATCTCAAGGAACTGATTTATAAACATGTACCCGTGCAAACCCTGCGGTCTTCAACACAGTACTTACTGAGTGTTCCCATGTATGGATAAACACAGATAAAAGTCTTACGGAGTGCGCTCTTTTGAAGCGATAGCGCCAAAATTATGGAACAGTTTGCCTCAATCTTTGAGGGGAATTGTAAATGATAAAAATCATTTAAGAAAAAATTTTAAACTTTTTTGTTTAAATAAATTTTGGACGACCAGAGCGCAGTGAGCATGCTAAAGGGGCAGGATACCAGTGCGATATAAATATCAAATCAATCAATCAATCAACATAGGTTAAAAAAAATAATAATATGAATTTTTAACTGATCATAGAGGTTGTGTCATAAATAATCATTGAGAAGTGTCTGACTTGCTAAAACATGTTGCCAGTTTTACTGGAGTCATATGAATATGATTTCACATTGGAAATAATGACATTTCATTGAAAGTAGGATAAATATGTTTGCAAAACAAAAAAAGGGGGGGGGGGGGGTTGGAGATTACTTTAAAAAAAAAGTGTTTGGTTTATTCATATACTCAATTTATTTTGCATTTATTTTATCATATTACTTATAAATTATAAGAATGAAGTGGAATGTAAGGGTTTGTGATGGGAGCAGGCAGGGTTTAGAGCAACTATTGACTATTGAAAGAAATTGAAGTGATAAAGTAAGTGTGAAGGCAGATTCTGAAAATAAAGGATTGAGATCAGGGTCTTTAATATTAAAAGCTGTGCAAGGATAAATGGTTGAATTTTTGGATCCCAGCCTCCATTATATACATATATATATATATATATATATATATATATATACATAAATATATTTTGCGTGAAAAATGACCATTTCAACTACTCTGACCCCAAATTTGGCACTCAGGGCTTAGCGCGCGTGCCCCCCCCCCCCTCCATTGACAATAGAACCCTCTCAATCCCAAGAACCAAAACTAAGACCATCGGAGAACGCTCCTTCTACTTCCATGCGCCCACGTTTTGGAACCAGCTGCCCTTCCACATCTGTCATTGTGAAACCTCGTCCACTTTCAAATCCTCATCCTCATGTCCCTTAGTCCTTGGACCGTTGGGGCGCCACAGATGACATGTGAATCATCCTCCTCCATTCCTCTCTGTCTTCAGCACTACGCACTGCATCGCCAGTGTTATTCCTGTCCACTCTTTGATGTTATCCTCCCACCTTTTTCTTTGTCTTCCTCTTCTTCTCCCTTCTCTTGTGGTGCCCTGCAATATTTCTTTGGCAAGCCCTTGTTTCCTTGTTACGTGGCCGTACCATTGTAATTTGCGTTAAAACCCTTAAAACCCATCTGTTTAGGTCCGCCTATGATCTGTGATGCACCCTCCTTGCCCTGCCTCATTTTCTGTCTCGGGTTGATCCTGTAGTATAGGCCAAAATGTGCCAAAGTGTATTCGTTTTTATAGCCATTTTAGTGTTTAAGCTACTGTTTCTATAGTCATTTTTCACATTGTAGTTACTATTCTAGTGTCTCTGGTTTTTCATTTTTATTTTACTTTAGCAGTTTAAATAGTTTACATATTTTTATTAATGGTAAAGCGCCTAGAGCTGTAAGGTAAGCGCTATACAAAAATGCCTAAATAAATAAATAAATATATCCATAAATATATTTTGCATGAAATATGAACAATTCAGCTTTCAGCCAATTTTGACACCCATGGCTCACACATACACACACACAAACAAAAACAACTCTCTCCCCCCCCCCCTCCCCCCACCCCCTTCCTTTTTTTTTCTTCTCTTCTTTCCATTCAGCACGTCTATGATTGAGATATGCCTGGGATCCAAATTAATTTTTTTGTTTTTCTTTCATCCAGGCTCTAATGACTGGGTGTTTTGGGATGACAAAGTGCCTGGAAGACTGAGAGAGCTGCACAAAGATGGTTACAGAGTTGTATTCTTTACAAACCAGGCGGGAATTGAGAAGAAAAAAGTCACTCCTGAGAGTTTCAAAAACAAAATTGAGGATATAATTAAAAAACTGGAAATACCAGTGCTTGTGAGTTGTAATTCTTTTATGTGTGGCACCCATTAATTGACTTGCTGGACATCTTAAAACAAAATAATTCATTCACATTAAGAAGATTCTGGGTGTCATAATTATTTTTTTTTATTTAAAAGGACTCCACTTGTATGAATTACAGAGAATAGCAGGAGAGATACTTTAATGGTTGTTCATGGATGAAGTTTTTTGACTACATTGACTACATAATTTAAAAAGTACAACTTTTAATTAATTTTTCATGTTATTAAAATTAAAAAAAACAGGTATTTGCAAGCACAGGAACCAACAACTATAGAAAGCCTTATACTGCAATGTGGGATCATTTTTTGGATAACTACAATGGTGGAGTGAAGGTAATCTTAGAAATCATCTAATGTTTGCCCTTTTTTAAACAAATTAAATTACTTATATTAAAAAGAAATTCAATTTCAAATTTTCAGCCATTTTTTTAAAAAATAAACAACAACGAAAAATTCTATGGCACTAATGTCATTTTTCTTGCATTTTTATAAAATTCCATTGTATAAAAAAATAATTTTAATAAAAACAAGTTAAACTGTATCTTACATTTTTAAAAGCAAAGTTATTTTTTCTTTTATCTGTCTTACAGGTTGACAAATCAGAAAGTATATATGTTGGTGATGCAGCTGGCAGGAAGAAAGGTTGGGCAAAAGATAAGCCCAAAGATTTTTCTTGCAGTGATAGAATGTTTGCTGCTAACATTGGAGTCAGTAAGTGTTATAAACATTGGTTATTTTTATTTAAACATGATTTATCAGAGACACTGTCACTGATTAGTTTCCATCTCCCAGTGTTCTCGGTGTCAAGGTCATGAAATCATCACGTTAGTCTGTGTGTTTTGAATCGGTGACGAACGGGGCTAGTGAGCGAGGGTGAATGTTTTTCATATCACGGGCAAGTGCAAGTTTGGGTCACGAATTTATGAAATGTTGGGGTTATAAAATGGGAGGCAATCTTTTGAGCAGGGCAGTATTATGTTCACGGGGATACAAGTAACTGGGATCTGAGTTAGTGTGTGAGATAGAGTGAACTAGGATCTCTGAGTTAGTGTGTGAGATAGGGCGAGCGACAGCGAGACGTGTTGTTTTCGCTGTGATATGTTTTGCTGGTTGAAAATATTGTCCTACACATGATTGATGTCACAACTTAACTATCAACCAAATGGATGTTGACATATGTACCATTAAGCTTATTGTTGATTGAATTAAACTAGTATGTTGTGTTACAAGGATTTCATGCCATCTTAACAGTTGCGAGAATCATACAACCCTAGACAAGCTCAAATTATTTAACATCAACCAGAATATTTGACATGAGGTCAAGTGTTGATATGCAACAGAATACTTGTCATGAGGTCAAGTATTTGATAGAAAAACGAGAATATTCTAACACCCCAGGATATTTGACACTCGGTATAAGTGGGTACAGTTCTAAATTCCTCCTTAAATGATGTTTGCATTCTGAATTGTCTGTTCATCCAAATGGTCAATAAGTTAAGTACAGAGCTCTTTTGATCAAAAGAGAAAACAAGAAATATTGGTTTGATATCCTGTAAAAGAGCTTAATACCATCTCAGACCTGTTTACTCTTACTATTTTGGCGCTTAGTGTATGATTTTGGGATTTTTTTTATGATTGAACGCCATGACCTGTCAGAACTACAATTTTAGGAGTTGAAAATATATATATTTTGGTAGTTTTTTGGCTTTAAAAAATATTAAAAAGTACATTTTCAGGAGTTAGTTTTAACTTGCACTCTACATTACACAGTGAATACAATCTGTTGGAGACCATCTATAATCATATTACATTGCCCTGAGATGGGAATGGGATATGGGGTGTTGATTTTGGAGATTTTGTATATAGATGTGCCGGGAGGGGGGTGTATGAGTCTAAAATATTTAAAATATTTAAGTCTATTCAATTAACACTGTCACATTATCATGAGGATAGTGATGATCCTATTGATGCATTGTTTTCATAAATGATCTTACTAGACAGGGCAACAGTAATATTAGCATAGTCGCCTTAGTGACAGTTATAGTCAGTCCTGGCATTCGTTTGCTTCGGTGCTGTATTCTGCTAAACTGCAACAAGTGCAGAAATGGAAAAAAAACTACAGAATGCCTTCTCAAATGTTTCAGGCTGCAACATTAGATTTTTGACATATTTTACATTTTCTGAGAGCGCCTTTAAAATCAATTTTTAGTAATCATAAAACAGCCATATGATTTTCAATACCCCCTCTTCCTTTCATCCATTTACTGCTTGTGATAGTTATCACACTGTAATATGTTTGAGGTGATATTGTACGATTTTAGGAGCTCAAATGTAACCAGGTCTGCCATCTATCCACCACTAGTTATTTCCAATGTAAAGAGACAGCAGTGATGTTTATGAGCTGGCCTGTTATTCTATGGTCTCTGCATAATTTTATAAAAAAATAATTGTTAATCATCTCATGAATCTTAATGTAGCACAAAATATGACACTGTCTTCTTGACAGAGTTTTCAACACCAGAGGAGTTTTTCTTGAATGAGCCTCCGGCCCCATTTGAGTGGAGATCCCTTGATCCCCGTTCTTTTCTTCAAGCCAACACCCCTATCCCTAAAGACAAGGACAAGACTACATATGCTATCAAGGTATCCTTTTCAGTCTTTCTTGGGTTGATGTTTGTATCCTTAAGTAGAGCTTTCAAAGAAACAAAAGGCACAGAACCTGCATTATTCTGGTAACATTGTTCACTGTCAAATGCAACTCAAAATAAGCTTTTTGTTTAATGGTTAGTGTGACACAGGCAAATCGCATAGAGATATCCATTGGATTGCTGGTCATCTAGGGGGTAAGAGCAGACATTGCTTTTGGGTATTAACAGATACATGAAATTTAGCAGTTTTTGGGGAGGTGTCACTATGTTGTGAGCCTGAGCTGCAGTGTATGAAAAAAAAACTTTCTTTGTGGTGAATTCAAATAACATATTTTCTCTTTTAATGAAACAAATAATATATCAGAATAATTTTAAAAAGAAATGCATCTCATGACTTATGAATTCACTCTTTGATTGATGACCTATTTATTATGGTCTATTTTCATTACCTCAGAAACAGGAAGTTGTAATTATGGTTGGTGCACCAGCATCAGGAAAGAGCACATTTCGAAAGCGCTATTTGGAACCACATGGCTATGTGGCTGTAAACAGAGACACAATGGGAACTGTTGAAAAATGTCTAAAAGTAATTTGGTTTAAAATGTATTTAAAAAATTGTAGTTCTTTTAAAAACTGAATATCATTGTAAGTGTAAAATTAATTAAACAAATAATTGATAATTATTTCCTCATTTTTATCATAAATTATTTTATGTTTGAAATAGTACATAGTTTATTTGTTGAAAAGTGATTTTTTTAAGCTTAATTTTTCATCACACAAAAGATAAATATATTCATACTGTTCTAAAATGTACCATGCATATAATTAAAGGTTGCGAAGGAAGCATTGACTGCAGGGAAGAGTGTAGTTGCTGATAACACAAATTCTTCTGTTGACGCCAGAGCAAAGTTTATAAAACTGGCTCAAGAAAAAGGTAGGTCTATTATTTTTAAAACAGCTTTTGATAATAATAATGCAAAAAGAAAAATTGAAAACAAAAATGAATATTTGAAGTGAAATTGACAGGGTTTTCTAAGTTAGCTATGAAAATGCAATGTTAAGTAAAAGTATCAAATTTTTCTACCGTATCATTTTTCATATTCTAATTCCTGTTTTGTTGCTGGTAACTCACTTTACAAACATTTTTATTTTTTTAAGGTGTGCCCTGTCGATGTTTTTGGCTACAAACTCCACTTGAGCTTGCACATCACCTCAACCTGTTCAGGCAGAATCAAACTAATGGAGAAGTTCGTCGGATTCCCGATGTGGGGTACAACATGTTCAAAAAGAATTTTGAGGAACCTCAGGCGTCTGAGGGTTTCACTGGGGGAATAGTGAAAATAGATTTTAAACCCAGATTCGATAGTAAGGCAGATGAAGAACTTTTTAAACAATGGACAGTGTAAACTATGTCATAATGGCTATAGTTTTTTAAAATTTTTGGTGTTTATTTGAGTTTAAACAACCTTTAGATTAGGATTTACTCTGGCACTCTGCCAGGATAAGAACAAACTGTGATCAGTTTAATACAGGCAGCAAGATAATGTGTCTTTTTTTTAAATAATAGACATGATGGGTCTGTGTTGCTCTGCCAGAGTTTTGTATGCCTAAAAAGGAATCATTTCACTCCTACAGTCAGTAAAAAGTTGAAATGTTAAAGTGAATTAAGGCCCAAACCAGGTATCCATTCATGTGAAACCCCATGTAACAGCCCCATTTATATTCCTACTGAGTCTTAAGAAGTACTGCTTTTAATGGAAAAGCTTTAGAGATAACGTTAAAGTTTCTTTAAAGTAAAGTGATTCCTAACCACCTAGGTCATTTCAATTGACGCCATTAAGCTTTCACCATTTCCCAATTTCTCATTTCATTGGGCTGTTTAGGGTCTGTTATACTAATTTTCTGTCATGCATGGAAGCATGTAAAAAAATTTTTAAAATGAAAATCTGGGTATTAACCTATATTAAATTATAGACATATGATTAAATTGAACTTAAGTCTTTCAATATAAGAAAGACATGGGTGTTATTTTGCTATAATACGCATATTTACAGAGCAAAAGATGAAGCATTTCAAAGTATTTGCTGATCTTTTTGTAACATGCAGACTTAAATATGAGAAAATTTAATTCAGCTAATTTATGAAAAATGAATTCATTACAAAAGATGGAAATTGATACATTTGTATCAAATTGTTTTGAATGTTGATTTGTTTTTATATATGTTTCACTTTACATTCCATAATTTTATCTTTTGTGTGTGATATTTTTATACAAAATTTAAGATTTACAAGCCAAACATTTGATAAAATTTATACATTTCCTGTTTTTACATAATTTTTAAGAATGTTCCATCGATGACATAAATATGTTTTAAAAAGTTTAATGATATATTTGTTTATAGCCATTTTAATAGTTCCAGACGGGTCGAAATAGAGATTAAATTTTACGTTTTTCCTTACAATTTGGTGTTGTTTGATATATCTACACTAAATTCCTCTGAATTATTTTATGATTAATCTTGCACTTTGGTGACAAGGTCATGCACTATATTTTATTATTGGGAGACAATCTGTTAAATAATGTTTTTTTATGTCGTACATTTCATAGTTCAAATAGTACTGAAAAGAAAAACCCAAACGATATTGATTGAAAAGAGAAGGAATAAAAAAAATGTTTAAATATAAATCCCAAAATTATGACTAGGTTATCTATTCTGGTGATGCAGAGGTCTCCATCCTTTTTGTATTAAAGTATGAGATGGAAATATTAATGATTCATTCTGTGTTCAGGGAGTTGGATATAGCTTAACTTCCAATGAGGACCATAATTTAAGTGCCTGAGGAGCTTCCAGCCGTATGGGGTATTGGGGGAATAGGTTGGGGATCTATGTAACAGAGTTTACTTTAAATTTCAAAACTACATAATGGTCTATGTAACAATGACACAATGCTTCCAGATGGTGCCGATTTCACTAAATAACATTCCATGCGCTAAATGAGATTCTTAAAATTACTGCAATTTTCGTTTGGTGATAAATATTTTTTTTTTAGTGTTATGGAAATGGTGTAATAAATCAGTGGTGTAAAAGCGTGTGGGACATTAGAATAATTAATTAAGTTCGGTGGGGTGGTAGCATTAATTGGAAATATTAAGTGCGTTACTTGATTACATATTTTGTCTAGTAACTTTATTATATGGGCAGTTCATGCATAGCTAGTTAGATAATGAATACATTTTCTTTCTCTTCACCTGTTTCCCTGTTTTAAAATAAATCACATGAGCATTTAAATTAATTTTATTCTTTAAAAAAAAAAAGTCTTCCGTCATCACATAAACAAGATGATTCATGATTGGTACAATCGGTTTAACCTGATAATATTTTGTGAATATACAGCTGAATATATAGCCCTGAGTCAGAGAGAACAATAACAGGTTGAAAAATGTCAGCACTTGATACAAACCTCTCTGTCTACAGACCGCGAAATTCTTGAATATGTAATTTAAGAAATAAACTGAGCAAAAGTTCTTTTTAACAAAGAAAACAGATACCACTGTACTCAAACACAGATGCATAATTTTAAGTAAGGCATTCAAAATGCAAAAAAGTTGTTTTATAAATTTTAAAAATAGATGCATAGCACTAAAAATATTTTAGCTTGTAATTTTACAAATTATTTCATATTTTATTTTTTGCACATAATTAATAGTTACAGAACTCCAAACATGATTTGGAATACAAGTGAAATTACAAAGCTAACTGGAATGTCAACTTACATAAAACTTGAAAATGTCATGTCAGTAGTTAGTCTTTTTTTTATATGCAATAGCAAGTGAATCCTGTGTGATTTGACATAACAGAGATTGACTTGTATGCCAGATTAAAACAGTTGTCAGCCCTGACATGTGTACATGTCAATGGACAATCAAACAAACATCCCATCAAACTAGATGGTTTTACTTTTTTGGGTGATGTAAGCAAAAACTAATCTCATTGGTTAATTTTTGTTTAAGGAAATTTTTTGCTCATGAGGCAAAATAATTATATCAATGACATTAATGGTGGCAGAATTGTATGAGGTGAAGCCAAAAATTACCAAAGAATAAAGAAAATAAGTTAAAAGATAAACGATGCATAAAAAAGCAGATTATTTTAGAAAATCCAGTGCATTTATTTTTGTTAAATGAGTATTACTTAAATCCTCACATATGCTGAATACAATTCTATAACTGTGTATAAAAAAAACTTTTTAAAAAAAAATTATTTGATTCCATGCAAAGTGTCTTACACTAATAACTATTTTTTGTTAAATATTATGAAATAATAACAAGAATAAACCAATTTTCTTTAAAGATTATTACACAAAAGCTCTACAGATAGCAGAAAAAGACATTCAGGATAGGCCTTTACTCCCAAGAAGACAATTTTGATGAGACAGATGTGTGGACAGCCCATAATTTGAATTGTTATTGCAACATTTTTTATGAACACATTCATTCATCATAATTAAAATGACCAACAATCCAAAGTTCATTGTAAAAAAAATGTTAAAGTGGCAAAAGTTTAACTTTTATCAATAAATAAAAATTATCACCAGATAAATCAAAATTTAAATCAATCACAGAATTATTATTTGTTCAACAACACAGAAGTTAGCAAGCATAAAAACTTGCATAAAAACTTGCTTCCATCATAATTCAAAGACACCAATAGCACCTGCAAGTCTGGCTTTTAAAGAACTGTGTTCAGCTGTGACTAGAAGTTGGGTCTGAAGAAATTGAAAATACAATTAATTTTCATAACATAAGTAAATGGAAATGCTTTTTGATTACATATTCATTTTCAGCACATAGATGATTATTCTTAGCAATGCAACACTTACAAACAATAAAATTTAAATACAATTCATCTAAAGTTTAACTCAAGCTCTTAACTCAGAATTCACTCTGTGAAGACAATATTGACTTTAAGGGTTATTATTTGGATTTTGTAAAAGCCGAGAAGCATGCTGGAAAAATTCTGACGGATAGGGGAACAAATACATTTATAAATCTTTGGGTCTTAACTTTAAGGGAAAGAATTCACCCTGATCAAGCTGATATTAAGTAACTATGATAAAGATGGTGAGATGTATCCTCAAATTTGTTTTTTTAGTTTTACACAAGCTTTTTTTCTTAAAACAAAGGTCGTTTTGTTTGCATTAAATTACTGGCATAGGAATATTTTTTTATAACACTTAAAATCAGTAACTATAATTTTCTAGGTATGAAAGAAAGTATGGTGTAATGGTGAGTTCAATAGTGTAAATTAAAATTCCAGATAACTGCGCTAAATGACATTCTTTAAAAAACAACAGCAAGTGCATTTGGTGCCTAATATTTTGCTTTATGGATATAGTCTAAATTTAAATATGATGCAATAAATCTGCGGTGTAAAAGGTGGTGGGACATTTAATATAGTTCAGAGGCGTGAAAAAGTGTTTTGTGGTGTGCCTGGGGGAGGGGGTCAAGACTAATTGGGAGTCATATAAAGTGTGTTACTTGAATGCATGTTTTGTAAAGTAACTTTAGTAGATTGTAAGTTCATGCACTGCCGCAGCCACTGTTTGGTGGGCTATAACTAATAGGTCTAATAAAAAATTTAAGGTATAGATTAATAAGTCTTTTTCACAGCATTGCATTAAAAGAAGCCACTAAAAAGAATTTTTTTACCTTTTCAAGAATGGTATAACAATTTCAATTTTTGTTTCCCAATACTATTGCACTAGATCTATCTTGAGAACACCATAAGCTCAAATAAATATTTTAAACTTATTTGTCAAACTTTTGACTAAATATGAAGCTCATAGCAGATGCTTTCTTGGTTTATATTGTGAAATCAGGGCAGTGGCCAGTGCTTCAAATATTTGTGATGCTTTATCTGGTCTGGTTTGTCAAACACTATGGGTGGAGAAGCCTACTTATGAATTACAAATTTATGGATGCTTTGTACCCAAACTAAGATTTTATTTACCTTTTTTCTAAATCTGAGCACTGCAAATTGAGAGCCAAACCTTGCCAAATCCTCTTTGAAGCCCAGTTCTCGAGATGCCTTTCAATAATAGAAAATGTAGCAGTTAATTTCTTACACGCTTTATAACTTTAATTTATTAATAGCTGGAAATCCATTAAAAAAAATTATCACTCACCATTTCAAATGTCTTTCATTTTCATACAGAATTATTTAAACTAAGAAGAAACAGCTTCTTTTTCTTTTTCTTTCTTTTAAATTAATAAATTATTTGTCTAATCATAATGAAACATATGTGTTGGATGGTGTCATTCTACATGGTAAAGTTTATATCTAACCATATAAATGAATAAGTGTAGCAAGCATAGAATATTATTTCTCAAAACTTTAATATTTGGATTTGGATGGAGTTGTACTATGTGGTAAATATTATGTCTGGCAACTGACCTTAAAACCAGGACAAGGCTCAATGGAATAAAATGGTCCACATTTTGAAGTAGCATCCCCACGTGGAAAACTGGGTCCTCCCAACCACACATAAACTCGACCCTGTTGGGCTGAGAAGAGATAAAGGCAAATTATTTACAATCTTCAGTTTTCTTTTGTTCCTTCATCATTGTAAATAGATAATTATGTTTTCCTGATTTAATATAACAAAATAAATGATCTAATGATGTATTATATATATTTATTTTTTTTGCTGGCATCCATCTGTCACAATGTGACAATGGTGTAGAGTTCACAAAACAAAATCCACAAGGCCTTGGATTTTTTTATTCTTCTAGTATTATAATCTGGTTCCCTAAAGCAAATCGCCCTCTCCACACCGCTGGTTAACCCAAGGGAACATCATGTGTATGATACATCCAGCGGCGTCGCAGGAGTGTCAATGTTATCCTATTACAGGACTCCATCATCTCCGGGTTTGAATTCAGAGTTTCCTTCTCTTAGATGAGCTGCCATTCAAGGTTGACGAGTCCCATCCATCCGGGGTGCTAGGGATGTTTTTGCTTGACTGGCCTCCGGTGGGGACTGAACTCCAGACCATGAATTTGAGATTGGATCAGTTTAGACCACTCAACCACCCAGCACCCAGTTTGATGCTCCTATGGCAACGTATATACATCATTTATAACTAGCTATTTCATGAGGCCTAACACAGACCATGATCATGAAAACAATCATTCACACGTTAAAAATTGCAATACCTCCAGTGAGCTCCTCAGTGATGTCATCTGTTCGGAGTGGAGCTCCAATGATCAAATCATCAACGCCATCTCTGTTTGTGTCTGTGAACTGATAAAGAATTTATTTTAAATAAGAATCTGTTCATAAGTTATGAACTGTTAAAAGAGGTTACAACTAAATTATATTTTACGAGTGTTTCTGTCACACTTGGCCAATGCAGCCATTTTGCGAAAAAACTCAAATTAAATATGTGAAGAATGCCACCTTACTTTGACCGTGGCACCAAATCTGGCAAATTTTCTGTCTCCATTAAATATTGTGATTGGTTGCTGGGGGTCACTAAGGTTATACAGGTACAAGGACCCAGCCTGTTCCAGATCAAGAGGAACACCAGAGACACTACCTTTAACATCTGAAAACATGAAGATAAATATAATGTTAAAATATTAGCCACAAGTGATTTAATCCTGGATATAAACAAAAACAGTACCAAAAAGGGTTCTTTTTCATGCTAGAAAACCATTTTTTAATATTTTTTTTTTTAATTCATCATTTTCATCTTTAATTGTACACATAAATGCCTCCTTTACCTTGTGTTATTTTTTCTTACTTATAAATAAATTTTAGATCATTTCAGAATATTTATTAAGTGGAAGATGGGATCGTACTCTAAACTCAAAGAAATCTCATCAATGTCCTGTGGGGCTAATTCAACATATTGCTCATAACATATAATCATAAGGCCTCCACAGGCCACCCACGATTTCCTGTCATCTCCTTAGTAATTCTCTCCACATAAATAAACATTTTTAATAATATTTTACCCTCTGCTTATCATTAATTAATATAATGATGTAAATATAACCACTAAAATTTAAAAGGTACAAATTAGATTGCACACAATTTTACATTCCTTCAAAGACTCTTTCTCTGATGTATATCATTTTTACTCACCTTGACCTGTTGAAGCTACGGCAATAACATCAGTTGCCTGGTCAAATGGTCTTCCAATATCAAGCTGACCTCCCAACATCTGGAACTGTTGCTGACCCAAGATAAGAGGACCTGGTATGATGTTGGATCCACTAACTGAATTTATGTGAACTTGGCCTATCGCCTGAACATCATTTGGGTCAAAAGAGCAATTGGTTCTGATTTTTCAAGAATGAAAATATTAAGACACTGAATTAACATCCCCATGTGATATAAGCTTTAAAAAATATTACAAACAAACTGAAGAGAAAGTTTTTTTTATATTATTCATGCAACTATTACAGAATTAGATCAGTTAAAAATTCTCCAGCATTGTAAGTATATGCAGATATACTCACATTTTTTTTAATTTAAAAAATATGCACCTATATAACTTAAGTTAAATTCAGCCACAATAAGGTGCTGCAACAGCGTTCTAGCATATTCTGTGACAAAAAAAAGCACTGCCTATTTGGTAAACTCTGAGGAGTGACATTTTCCTCTTTAGGGAATATAAGGGTTACTTCTGGATATTGATATTAGTTAATCACAATAAATATCATCTGTTGCTCTACTTTATTTTAGTTCTATTCAAGTTAAATAAAAATACTACATATTGTCAGAGCTCATTAACATAATAAATTATGATATTTGGACATCTTAAACAAATATTTCTTAACAACTAAGAAATCAATCTTATGTCATGTCTCTGCTTAGTACTAAAGATAAAAAATAGCTTGCACACAATTTTTTTTTAAATTTAAAAGCCAGCCTTTACCTGGCACACTTCCTTAAGTTTGGTTCTCCTATGGCAATGTATGTTTCATTTCTGTCAGAAATTTTTTTGATGGCCAAACTATAGCCAAACCAACTATAATTCTGTAATATAATAAACAATATAACAAGAGAAAGTAGATTTTTGAGACTTGATATACAAAAATAGAAGATAACAAAATTTGTCAACAGAAAATTTTGTAGAACTAAACACTTTTGCTTAATAAAAATCATTTGGCATTCAGAATATTGTACTGAATGTATTGATAAGCCCAGCACATGGGAAGGAAGGGGAACTAAAAACCTGCCTAAACTAAATAGAATTCATACACTCAGTGAGAAAGAAGCATATTAGAATCCAAAATATAAGCTTCAACAGTTCATAGAAAACAACAGTAACAAATAATGTTTAAAAATAGATCTAAAGCTCCATTAAGGAATAACTAATTATTATCAGTACAGAACATAGTGAATGATAAATTAGGAGTACACATAGAGTACATAAAGTCAGATTTGATGCTTTTATTTCCTAGACCAAATACAGCTTTTGATAGGACCAGATTAAGAAAGCTTTATTTCTTAGATTTTAAAAATATTTGATGCTTATTTACCTGGGTGCCATGCAGAATTGTAGTTGACATTGTTAAATGCAAATCCATTTTCCCTACAAGAGAAATAAACAAAGATATGAGATACATATGAGAAAAAATAATTGTATAACATTTTAACTACCCACGCAATGACTGGGTAAAATATAAATAGCAAGTTGATAAAATATCAATAGCAATTAGGTTTCTACTGATTGTTAGAGTATATTTTAATTTCTGCACATCTTTTCGCTTCCTCCACTAAAAGTGGAATTACCTGCATATTTTCTGTCTGAAAGCACTGCTGTAACCATTCCCCTCTGCACACCGCCCCCTGGAGCGAAAGGGGAGCTTATAAGAAGATCACTGTAGTTATCAGAGTTTATATCTTCTGACCTGAGAGTTGTGCCCAGTGTACAGTAGACATCCTGTTTACCATTTAACAAGATGTCAATAGTAAAAAAAAAAAAAAAACTTCCATGGATTTTTTTAATGATTAAAAAAAATTTAAAGCTTCAAGTAAAAAATAAAAAAAAAAAAAAAAAAAATGGAAAAAAAAATAATAAGAAGATCACTGTAGTTATCAGAGTTTATATCTTCTGACCTGAGAGTTGTGCCCAGTGTACAGTAGACATCCTGTTTACCATTTAACAAGATGTCAATAGTAAAAAAAAAAAAAACTTCCATGGATTTTGTTAATGATTAAAAAACATTTACAGCTTCAAGTAAATCATTAGATAAAAAAGAAAAAGAATGGAAAAAGAAATGATACATCTAAGTTCTTAAAAGGTATTTATGATGTACCTCTAATTTAAAATTTCATTTCTACAGCCATAATATCCTGCTCACTGAGCAACAATTGTTTAATTGGGAAAAAAAAAAGACTGATAATTATACGCTCCATGATAAAATGAATAAATGTTCACATATGAAAACTGATTTAATTCACTGATTTGGTTTTTGCACATACCGGACAATCCATAAAAGCTTTAAGAGAATATGATTTTGAATCAACTGGTGCATAGACAAAAACTTTGCCCTGAAATATAAATGCATATATATATTTGGAGAGAGAGATATTAAAAAGTCCATACTTCATTATTTTGGTAAATTTAACTCAAATGTCAACCAACAAGACCCATAAAATCTCAGGTGCAGAGAGGTAGAAAAGGATGTAATTAAGATCGGAAAGAGTTAGAGAAGATTGCATGACCCCAGAAGGTGTGGATATTGTAAAGGGCATATGTTCCACTGGAAGCTGAGAAAGGTAAAGAGCAAGAAGAAATAAACATTTATTCTAGAGTATTCAACTCAGAAGTGTTTCCTGTTTCAGAAAATTATTTACAAAAAACGTAAAATTGAAAAACAATTGGAGGTTATGCTTGTTTTAAGAACATATTAACTTACATTATAGGTCAGATTTGAGGAGCCGAAACTTGGTGCACCGATTGCTATATCTAGTTTCCCATCTTGATCCATGTCAAAGATTGCAACAGACGAGCCAAAACATGAGTTGCTCTAAAGGATTTAAAAGGGAAATTTTTATAAACTCTGCCGTTAAGTTTTTTTACACAAGTGAAATTACACATTTAGTTTTATAAAGGTTTTATATAGCCTTAAAAATACAAAATCAGTTTCACCAAGGAATTGTACCAAAAGAAGATATAAGTTTAAACAAGAGCTATTTATTTCCATTTAAGGGTGGCATCACATCTACTCCACTTTTCTACTGACTTAAGATGTTTTGCGGGTGGCTGAGATGTTCATAAGAGATACTGTCGGGGGGTTACATACAGAAAATGAATCCAATGGGCCTTGGATTTGGATATCAGCAGCCTTTGTGATGTCAGTTATGGATGTGTTAAGGCCATTGTCAGTACCTGCATTGGTCAAGAGAAACGAATAGTTCAATTTTTTAAAATTCAAATAAATAATTAACATAAACAGCACGGACTCTTTGGTTTTACTTCCTTTAATAGCCAACATTTTATTGTTCATTAATTCATTCAAAGTGGATAAAACTGTTCCAGGGGCTCATCAATAATGTTTTAAAAGTTGTAAAAAAATCAAGTAAACGGAGGGCTGGATTATGACAACTGCTGTTATTGGATAAAAGATTTTTTTTTCTTGAAATAATATGCTTAAAATATTTTTCAACCAATATCAATCAATTAACCTTTGCTTACCAAACAAGATAAAGGCCGTCCCTGTTTGCTGCTGGCTTGCTGGATCCATATAGCCTGGACATCCAATGACCACATCCTCATTACCATCCTTGTTTAGATCAGCCACAGCATAAGCCCTTTGAGGGTGGAAATAAAACTTTCAAGAATTTTATTGCTAAAAAGTGAAGAACGAGAGTGATGTTAAAAAAAATAATTTTTTTATTTGAACAGGAGGTAACATTTTGGTGAAATCATGCTTTATTTTGTCGAAACCTTTCATTTTATTTGACTTACCAACCAAGTCCAGCATATTCTATACCAATTGTAAACACAGCTGTTGGATACTCCACTCCAGAAGCTTGTGGTGTTTTTGTGTACAAATTTTCTTTATTTTCCAAAGTCTCATCTGCAAACATTTGCAACTTTTTCTGAAAGGAAAACATTTATTATTATTTTTAAAAAAAAAAAAAAAATATTTTTTTTAAAGAGAATAGGTGAATAAAATGTATACCAATCACTTAAAAGAAAAAAACATTGGTAAGAATATGGGTTTATTTTATATCTCATTTTCCTTTATGAATTCTTTTATTTCACAGCATCCACATGTTGAGCCAAGGTATATGGAAAATACAAAAAAAAAATATCCAAAATTATTGACAAAACTAACATTAGTGCCAGAGATATACAATGCCATAATGAAAGATTGAACACAAGGTAGGGTACCTTCAAACTACTGGCAGGTTTAAGATGCATGCCTCTACTGTGCAAATCAACAACAACATCATTCATACTAAGGCCAATTGTCTTTGCGCTATTGTAAACTATGTTGTTACGGAATGTTCTCTTCATTCTACTTGGTGATGTCAGTTTGGTGTGATTGCATCGGAAAAATAATGGATTGTGGTCCATGTTGCAATCCCTGTGGATTGAAAAGAAAGTGTCAGCTACTTATTAAAGTAGACACACAGAGAATGAATTGTAGTGGACAAGTCATGAGGGCATCAAAGGCGTAAGAATAAAATTTAGAAATGCAATTTATTTAATAATTCACAAAATAACACTCTGTTTTATGCAAAAAATTTAATTTTGAAGATTCGCAATTATATTCCAGCTAAGTGATACATTATTAAGTTGATACAGAATGCTTCTGGTTAAGAAATATCCTTTTTTTAAATGGATAAACAGTATGATCAAAAACAAATGTATAAAGTTAAAGAGGATGTTATTTTACTCTTACATAAATGGTACAGATTTAAATTAATACAGTTTTATTTTACTATCATTATCATCACATGATACTCAAAAAGAACTGTCTATATTTTTTGTAAAGGCATATAATAAGCAAACGATTTTTTTTTTCGCTAAATCAAGAAAAAATATATTTAAATTAAAAAAATATTTTAAATATGTTTAATCTTGTTTACCTAGGTTGTAACATTTATATAGCATTACCAAAACAAAGAACCTATGGCTGTAAAAAAAGAATGCAGAAAACAAACTAACTTAGATCCAAATTCCAAAGCATATGTCAGGTGCTTCCATATTCTCTGTGTCCATGCTGCCATATCAGTGATACCCCCCAGGAAGTAGCGATAAAGCTCATTTACAATAAAAGGACTTTTTTTGGCTGTGATGGGGAAATACTGAAATAAAACAAAGGTCAACAAAAAATGTTAGGGCAATGAATAATATGGTTTAAGATACAATAGAAATTATTTTTTTTTACTTTCCTGATTATTATTGCAGCTGTAACAATTGGAATACATATTTAAAGTGATAAGATGGTGAGGGGGGGGGGGAATAAGGAAAAGAAACCATAATAAATAAGGAGCTAAAATATAAAATGCAAAGTGTTTTCTTAAATTTTTCTTAATTGGAATACATATTTAAAGTGATAAGATGGTGAGGGGGGGGGGGGAATAAGGAAAAGAAACCATAATAAATAAGGAGCTAAACTATAAAATGCAAAGTGTTTTCTTAAATTTTTCTTATTAAATATTTTATTAAGTTATTTAAGTTTGTTATTTTTATCTAAGTTAGGTATTTCAATTTGAATAACTTTTTTAAAAATCATAAAATAAAAACAGAACTTACCTTTTTTACAAGTACTCTTTCAGCAATTCTATTTAGAAAAAAAAAAGATGCATTTGTGCATTCATTCTGTTTATATGCATTTATATATAAGAATGAGCTAGCGTATCCATATAAGGAAATTGAAATGAATTAATATAGATACATTCTGATTCTTAAAAACAATGATAGTGATTTTCTATTACTTTATGGAAATATAAAATAAAATATATCAGCTTTTATTTTAGTATACTTTTAGGTATTGTTATTATTATTATAAATTACAAATACATTTAAAATAAAATTAAAGAGCTATTTTAAGCATTTTATCAGAACTTGAAAGTTATGATTTTTTTCAACAATAAATTATGATCAAAGAATTATTTTTATTGAATCATTATCACATTTATTAGAAAAACTTTAAAATTCGTTGTTTTTAGTGCATTTTATTTAGTGTGTTGTTAATATTGTGAAATTAAATTAAAATTAGTTTGAACTAAATGTCTTCAAACAATATCAAATTATAAGTTTCAATTGAACTCAAATAAAAGAAAAATTATCGTAATTTCAAAAGAGCAAAATTTAAACTTGCAAATAAAAAGCTTTAACTTTCTTTGATTTAATAACTGCATGTGACAAAACTGACAATGTATTTTGCCATTTTTAAAAGTAAAGTTAATAAATATAATTGATTGCTTTTTAAATTGTTAATAAAACACACCAAATTTTAGTTTTGTATTTTTAACATTTAATAAGTTTTGCTTATGTTCATTCAAAAAATGTGCTTTTATCAAATTTGTAAAATAATAAAAACTTAATTTCTAAAAGAACTTTTAATAAGCAAAATCCTTTTTAAGTTAATTAGTGCAGTGAAACTTCATAGCCAAATAGCACTCACTAATTCAATTATACTCATCTAAATAAGAACAAACCATATGAAGTTATATCCATATCTAAAGACCCAGTTATGTGACTGATTTGAACTTTGGTATAGTTTTTAATGTTAAAATAAGTAACCATAATATTTCAATATCCGGAATTATGCAAATAATTATATATTTTAAAGCTGTTACCCTGGAATATGCACTTCTATAAATGTATGCTTACTTTATTGATGCCAAAAGTAGGCTTTCCTAATTAAAGGTATTGTACATTGTGTGAAAATTGTACAAGAAAAATAGAACGCTTAAAATTTACTGCCACTTTCCACTTACTTGACCAAGTACATCAGCTTTGTGCATGTCACAACCACAGTCTTGTTGATGGCTTCTTTCCCATAGTAATCCTGGTAGATGTTGAGTACATCTCCAACTGGAACATACCTTATGTCAAACACAGTTTACACAGTATAAATGTGACCAGGCATGACAAGGAATAGATTTACAGTGTAGTTATGGGGGTTGTGTGTTTATTTTTCTATTAACTATTTAGTTTATGTAAAAAAATAATCATTGTAATTCAAAGTTAAAATTGAAAAGAAAAATAATTACATAAACAACAATAGTTTTGGTTTCAAAGTTAAATTGGACATTTTTTAAATGCCTTTTAAAAAATAATTACTGTCCGTATGTACAGTTAAATCATTTCAGAGAGAGGGTTGTGCAAAGGTATTCAGTAATGGTAGATGTAGAATTGTATAAGAAGTAAGATACCAGTGAATTCAGTGAAAACCTACAAAATATATAGAAAATGGTTATAATTACTCACCATTCTCCAATGATATCACTGTAGTTAAGATTGAGTTGAAATAGATTTAAGACATCGCCACCTATCAAAAAATTATATAAATATATATTTGAGTTATGCAATGCATAGATCTATTTGTTTCAATTTGAATCCTGATTTTAAAAATAGCAATATTTTATTTTTGGTTTAGTAAGTGGGGGAAAAAAGGAAGATAAAAATCTTGACCATTAATGAAAGCGTTTGAAATTTCTATTTTCTATAATATATATGCTATATAGTATAATATATATATAGTAAGACAAGAAATTGTGAGATACTATTGTTGAAATTTTAGATTTTAAGTTTTTTTTCAGAATAGTAGGCCTAAGTTTAATTTTATTTTCATCCATTTGGTTCTTCAATTTATTTAATGTTGTAATTCTGTGTGTATTAGTGATTTGTTTATTATCAAAGCTATACAAATAATTTGTTTTAAACCTAATGTATAGAGTTTATACTGTTTGATAACTTGATATCAGCATTTATTTCAAAATAGTGTAAACAGTAAATATTACAGATTGTCCAAATGTTCTGCTTGAGCCTAACAGAATCTGTTCATGTTACTTACCCAGATCACCATCTGAATGTGCAGATGGGAAATCCCCATGGTAGTTTGTCTTAGGGAAAAAAGTGCATTTTTCATTTAAAAATTATTTTGGGATTTGAATTAATTAATTTTTGCATAGCAAAATCTTCAAAAGAGAATCAACAGAGAAATCTAAGAATATTAATCTTAAAAAATGGAGGGTGAAGGAGTTCAATGGAGCTGATTCAAATAATTTTCATCAGAATGTGATATCTTAAATGATTCAATTCCCTAAAAAAGTAAAGATGCATGCCATTGTAAATTATGAAGAAAAATGTAGCTATCATTTTCAACAAAAGTTGATGATAGCGCAAAAACCATTGTATTATACAAAAAACAAGCCAAATATTAAAGGAATTTTATACCGCAGAATATTATTAAGTATTTGGACATTAGTACATGTTGTAAATCAAATTAATTTGTCACTAGAAATATCAATTCTATGCTTTTGCTTTTATAAATTTGGTATATCTAATGAAAGAAAGCTTTTCCAAATACGTTTTTCTTCATTAATCAACATCTGCACATTTATGTCTCATTTACAATGTTCTGTTCCAGGTTGCAGGGCAAGCTTTAGAATTCTGATTTTTTCACAACAATGAGAAACCTACCCCTGCCATCGCTACCAAAAACCCTTGATCTATGCCAAGAGCATGCCAGGATACATCAGCCACCTGATGGGACATGATTCCCATTATGAATGCCACAAGCTTCAAGGTCTTCTGTAGAGCAGAATGGATACATTTAAAATTATAGTTTGCAAACAAAAACCAAAAGTCAAGTGTTTAAAGTTATAAATTTAAAGATAAGATTTTAAATGTCATGCTAAAAAAAATCTCAAATATGCTGAATAAATTAAATTATTCAACCTTGTCCTATCAGCTTTTCATTTTTCTGGTTTAAGTCCTCAAGTGTTTTTTTCTTTCAGAAAATAAGAAATTTTTTATTTTCTTCTTTTTTTAAAAAAGTTATTTTCTATAGTCTTCTATAAGCCACCTACGCACTCACTGTGACCCAGCCCATCCCTAACCGGGTGACTAGATGGTCCTTGTTGATTTTGACGGACAAACAACTAATAAGTGTAGCACAATAGTAAATTGCTTTGCTGTTAAACTAACCTGATCCCATGGCTTTGGGTAATTTTTTATAATGTAATTTATGCTAGCATTAATGAAAGGTGTCCAATGTGTGTCTTCAGATACATCATGGAATTTCCCTGCAATGAGACAAACAAAAGAAAATTAAAAAGGAATTCATGCAGGAACAGTAAATTATAATAAATGTTATCAGTAAGTGACATATATAGCCTACATTATTTTTTATATGTCATTTTTGTGTGTTTGTGATTTCATAATTATTTAATTCAAGTCTTTGTTCACCATCAAGCCGCTATTGTCAAAGCTAAAATAGCATAAATCACAACAATACTTAGGCTTACCATCAAAACAGAAGTTGGAATAAAATGAATCAGGAAATACACTGCCTGCTTCCAAGGCATCTTGGTTCTCACGGACGATCTATGTGTTATGATGTAGGATTATCAAACTTTTAAAGAAAAGATGCTTACAAATATTTGTAAGTACTTAAAATTGCCATTTTAAAAATTGCATATAACTAATCACTAAACAAAATTTAATTTATTTTTCAAAATTTTGTTTTATTGTAAAAGAATAAACAAGAAATATTGATGCTTCAAAAATTTATAATTCTGTATTATGGTTTACTTTATTACTTTGTACATACTTTAACATTTATTTAAAAAATGTCTACATTAGCTTGCTTTGCATTTGAAGAATGGTAAGTTAAGAATAGATCATATTATTATTATGTTTTGCAACATAGTCTGCTTTTTACTCATTTAAGTTTAAGTAAATAAATAGTTTTTCCTGCTATTTTTTCTGCAGTTCATACATACCCCCAACCATACAGATAACAAAACTGTGTTTACGTAATGTGCAAAAGGCCCATAAGGTAAGCACAACCTGGCTTCCAGTAACAGCCCCCCCCCCCTTTTACAATTCCCTAAGCGGGCATTAATATTAATATTAATAATATTATATGCAGTATTTGATGCTAACAAGAAGATCTGAATATTATTATTATTACTATTATAATATATATAACAGTGTGGATTTAAAAGTTATTAAGTGCTTATTGCGACAGTAGTATATTGCATATTCTTATTTATTATTTTAAAGAGAAGTATATCACAATCACACTTACAGTATCATAACTTAAAGGACCATATGTGTCATGATATCCACTGAGTGCCCTATAACCTGGAAAAAAAAATGTTGACTGAACACAATAATCTAATAAAGAGTAAAGTAAAGTAAAGAGTAAAAGAGTATGACTATGACTGGTCTATGACAAACTCATTAGTCAATGATTGAATGCTTATAATTATGATTAATTATTAATGGTGAATATAATCAATCAGAATCAGTCAGATTATGATGTCACTTTGTTTTTAATTTTAACAATGGCAATGGGCTTGTAACATTGTCTTACTTACTTAGACTTTAAGTTAAACAAAAAAATAGGGGGGGGGGGATATGGGCTACCTGAAATGCAATAAATGGCAAAATATTAGTACACTCAGAAACATACTTATTTCAATATGGGTTACGCCCCCACACGCATGCACTCCGGTGTTGTAAAACAAATAAGCCAAACAGAAGTGTGTCAGTGTCAGTAAGTTTGGCCAATATATGTCTGCGATCGGTTTAAATCTCATCATTAATTTGTTAAGTGTTTGAAATATTTGTAACACTTAAGGATAGAAAGCATACTAAATTCAAATTTAACAACGCAAAACCCGCCGCCAACACTAGTGATTTTGGTCTCCCATTTTTTTCTTCGTTTGCACTACTCTACTAGACTCTACGGTAGTTACTATTTACATTTACATGCAATTTATTGGGAATAGGAGGAACTGAACTTTCATGATTCAAAAACTAAAGAGTTTCAAAATAAGGGTTCTGTAAAAAAAACAAAAAAAAAACGCGCACATGACAATTGCGCACAGAAAACTCCGCAGACATAACTGGGCACACAAAAACTATGCACATCGACAGTTGCGCAAGCAGAAAACTGCGTACGTCGACAAAAGCGCACGCGGAAAATTGCGCACACAGACAAATGCGAACGTTGACAATAGTGAACATTTACAATTGCGCACAATGTAATTTTACAATGTTAATTGTAATTGAAAGGGTTGCAGATGGTTATCAATTGCCGGTGTCCACGTTTTTCTTGTGCGCAGATACATATTTGCGGATTTTTCTGTGCGCGTTTGTCTTATGCACACATGTCTGGTCACCCAAAATAAGGTAGTAAATTAGTGAAAACATTTAAATAGTTGCGCACACTATGTATCTTCTACTAACAACTACCATTGACATCTACCTTACTCAACATCAGTGCCGCAGGAAGGAGATGCAGAAGGCAGGAGTTTTCCTATATATTGATGGCGTGGTATTTTCAGCCAACTTCACTGGAATTATTATTATTTATTTATCTTTTTTTTTTTTTTTTAATTAAGTCGGCCAATAGCTTTGCGGGTAACGCTAACCCTAACAAACCACGCCACTGAGGCATGCTTAACATTTTTTTGTTATTATATAATAGACAAGTAGTTAATGAAGCATGTTAATACTACGTTATATGGCCATGCGAAGGGGGGCGGCGGTCCTGGGCGCAAATACATGGGGTACCAAAAATCTATTTTATCCATACATATATATTTTAGGGTCAGGTTCCGCCCTTAACAAGAGTTTCAATATTTTGGCGCCCCTTACAAATTTTCAGGTTGATAGATATTAACTGTTAATAATTCATAAAGATGCAGCTGGAGAAGACGGAAGAAAAGAGTCCTAATTAAAACAGCCATCTTGTTCAGCCAGCTAAATTATAAACAATAAAACTTAATTATTTAGATTTTAAATAGCATAATTAAAAAGGTAAACTGTTCGAATTTACAACGGCTTTTTATTTTTCCCCACCCCTCTTTTACATCGCAATTTTGCGCCCCTTAAATTACCTAGCCCTCCGACCCACTGTGGCCGCAGGGGTTGCAGGTCCCAAGTTACAACTCTGAGATCCAGGCATTGATTGACTAAAGATTTAAGAACATTCAGTTGTGATTTCTTGCATCGCATGCAGCATGTGTACAAGAGAGAGTATTTCTTCCCCTTAATTTAAATTCACCAATGTCTGAGATACTCCCATTTTTTAGCACATTTTGTAAATGTATCAAGTTTTTCAAAAATTCCATACAAGAAAATGTTTGTACTTCTTTAGCATCATTAAAAAAAATAGTAATGAATTTGAAATCCTTCAATGAATTGGCAAGTGGTATTGCTTCATAGCACACTAAAGCATGGGCGCCCGCAGAAAACTTTCCGGGGGGGGGGGGGCAAAAAAAATCGATTAACTTTCCAGGGGGGGGGGCAAAAATTTTTTTGTGGTTGTGACGTATTCTTTTAAAGTTTAGGTTATAATATCTATGTAGTGTTCAAAAATTTTTTAGTAATGTTTTAATATAGTTTTAATTTACTTTAGCGTATTTGTATGGTGAACGAACAGACAGGACATCAGCTTAGTTACTTTCTCTTTATTTTCTCTTTACTTTAATAAAATTTTTGTCTAAAAATTTTTTATCCAATCAATCCAGGGGGGGGGGGGGCAAGTGCCCCACCTTGCCACTACGTGCGGGCGCCCATGCACTAAAGGATCATTTGTTTTTTCGGCAATGGCAAAAATTGCACGATAAACCACGCCAAGATGATATGGAAAAGGTAAAATACTATCAATTCTTAATTAACAGAGATTATCAGATAATGATTTTAACGTTGGTTTCTGTAAATGTTTTTTTTTTCAACGCTTTTCAAACGAGATTTTAACGTAGAGGATAGTAATAAATCTGCCAAGTTAATCCAACCAAAAAAAAAAAATGATTTTTTCAGTTACCGTGGCATTTTCCATTTCGCCAGTCCAGTGGCATATGAAGGGGTGCGAATTGGGAGGATCCCCCGGCGGTGCCGTCTTATTAAGGATGGTCCCATTGGGCACTGGCCCAGGGCCCCCCACTTGTAGGGGGACCCACATTTCTAGGAGACTCCCTCTTATAGAGGCATCATTTGACAATTTAATTGTATTTAACATTCAAAATTTCCCAATTTTAACACACGATGCATATCAGCACATCCCAAAATTAATATTATAAATGCGAATCAAAGTTGGATAATTTTAAACTTTTTAAGGGGAATAACTCTCGTCAACAATTTTTACTTTTCCCAGATATGAATCGAAAAAAAAATAAGATAAGAATTTATGTTTACAATCATGTTAGACAAAGATGTTGGCCCCGGGCGGTAATAACCCTAGCTACGCCACTGCTCATTAAATGAAATAAGTGAAGAAAAGTCTAATTAAGCACCAGTTAAAGTGCGACTTAAGTTAATTAGCGTTATAAAGGAATTTGTAGGTCACCAATGGATAACTTTTCTGTTTCTCCCTATTTTGGACTCCCCGGACTCTGACCTGACACAACGTACACAACAAACAAGCTTATTAAGTTTTATTCTTGTATTTGAAATCTTTTTTCCTGCTTTACGAAATTAAAAACAATTGAGCTGAATAAAAAGTGTGAAGATCTAGCTAATATGTATCACAAAGACCTTATAAGAATGAATGCAAGCATCTCAATCTCAAGAACTACCTGGTTCTTTAAGAAATTTGTAACACTATCGCCATCGCTGCTTTGTAATTGTATGAACACATTATTACAGACAACTTGAAATCTGTATTTCCTAATGTTGAAATTGCACTCAGAGTGTACATATCCATGATGATAACCAACTGTACAAGGGAACGTTCATCTTCAAGATTGAATCAAATAAAGAATCAGCTTGGCAGTACCATGGGGAAAAAACGTTTGAACTGGCTTTCACTTATGTGCATGGAAAATGGCATCCTTTAGACCAGTGGTTCTCAACCTTTTTAGTGCCGCGACCCTTTTATACAGTTTCTGGTGTCGTGGCGACCCCCAGCCAAACACTTATTTTCGTTGCTACTTCATAGCTGTAAGGATATGTGTTTTCAGATGGTCTTAGGCGACCCCTGGGAAAAGGTCCCGCGACCCCCAGGTTGAGAACCGCTGCTTTAGACCATCCTTAAGACCATTGATTTTAAACCAATAATAAACAATTCTCTGCAAAAAAAATAACGCAAACTTTATGTTGATTTATATTAAATAATTTATTCTATCTGTCAATAATGATAAGTTATCTTCTCTGATTATTTATAGTTATAGATTATTTCTAATTTTTTAAAACTAGTATTGATTTTGAATGATTTTGTTTTTGTATCAATAAATTGAATTCATCAAAATTTAACTTTATTGAATGTTTATTTTAATTTTAAATTTGATTCCTCTTGGTGAGTTGGTGGGAAGGAGGAACTGTTTGCTTCCCCCTGCTCCACTGTTTGAGTATGGGGCGAGTGCCCCTCTTCTCACAGCCTAGGTGTGTTGTGCAGCTAGGGGGCCCCAGTGCATTGCTGTGCCCAGGGCCTCCTATGTTGTTAAGACGGCCCTGTCCCCAGTGGGGTTCTTTTTAATTTATTTGGAGGAACAGCATTTTCTGTCAACTTCGGAGTGGTTTCATCTTTTGCTGTTTTTTATGGGAGGGTTTACTAAACTTGGCCTGTACTATTTTAATTTAATCTAAAACACAGGTTGCTATTTAACTATTAAATAAATAATAGTGACATCTTCTGTCAGAAAGTTCAACATCATTGTCCATTTCAAGTTTTTCATGCATGATACTGATACAACAAAATTAATTAAAATGTGTGACGTCAAACAAAATATTCTCCCCCCCCCCGTCACACTTTCTTAACCCCCCCCCCCTCCAGATCGTGACATACTTTATGGACGGCTCTTAAGCACCCAATAAAATTTTCGGAAATTCAACCCAAGTTTGAAGTTAACAAATACCAGTATCTTCAAACCAAATAATGTTACAAGATATGTTGGTTTTTATATCCATTAAAGAAAAATAATAAGCACGTAATGTGTGTACCATATTCTGAATGTACAGTTCAGTTAGAATGAAAAACTGGGTTGGGAGGTAATTAGAAAAAAGGCTACATATTTATATCTCCAAAACCAAATTTGCTTATGTAACCTACATTATCTTATGAGGTCTGTAACACCCACCCTCCCCCTCTTTCGAATTTTTTTTTTTGGGTTGTTCTTCTTTATAAATTCTTGACCCAAAGAGAAGTTAAAGGTTTTCGAATTTTACCAATATATCAAAATACCTTATAGAATTACAGACAAGAATATGGGGGATTTTAAATTCTTCTTGACAAATAAATAAATGTTTTACACCCCCCCCCACCCAAACTCAATTATTTAAATTACCGGTAACAAAAAAAAAGCTAAAAAAATATAACACAATGAAGTTTCCACAGAGCTGGATGAGCTTAAAGTTAGTATAATTATTCCATTTTCACAGCTGTACATAAAAATAATCAATTGACATCATTCATATGTTAGTAGAACTCCCTGACTTCATTCCTGGTATTTTAATTGAAAAGGGGGAGTGTGCGAAGGCACAGGCTGATGTATTGTTGAATACATAAGCTTCATGTCATTTGCTTTAAAAAAAATATTTGAACGGAGCCGTATGCAGTATCGTCAAGTTCATTGCCACAAGTATAGATGTTGAATCATTCCACATAATTAAAAATTAATGTAAAATATAAAAATTTTTTAAAGAAAATACAAGAAAAGATTTTAAACAAATTTATTAATGTTTTTTTTTTTATATCAACAAATTAAATGTGATTTAAAATACATTGAAATATCAGGACATGTCATACATTAAAGGCTTTCAACAATACAGTCAATCCACTCTCACTCATACAACTCAAAATGCTTGATACTAGACAACTAATCTATAACTGACATAGCGGCCAGCAGTTTCACTCGGCCTGATAATTTTGACAACCTGTAAAATTAGAGACAGACACACATTTGTTAATAATTAAGTTCATTTCATCTGTGTTCAGTAAAATATGTTTAAAAGTTTTATGTTTCAAACTGAAAAATCTTTTATTTGTATTAAGGACCATTTTTTTATTTTAAATCTTCCATATATTTTCCGTGAACAATATTTATATAAACAATGCAGTGGAGGTACCGTAATTAAACATAATGCTTGTCATAAATCTTTAGGCTCTTCCATTGCAATAATATTTAAAGACTTGTTGGAAATGTTCATTATTTTCTCTACTTTTTTTTGTTTGCATATTGTACCTATAAGGTTGAAATAAAAATTTGAAATATCTACACACCTGTCCTCTTTTAAGACCAAAGTAACGAGCGACTGGATCACCTTGTTGAATCCTAGGTAACTGTGATTCTTTTAATTTACTGGTTAAAGTTAAGGTGGAAACATCCAAGTAAATGGCAATGTGAATAGATTCTACCTTCAAATTTTTATGCAATACATTTTACCTTCAAATTTGCAGGCAATAGATTTTACCTTCAAATTTGTATGAAATAGATTTAACCTTCAAAGTTGTATGTTATAAAGTTCTAGTTTTACCTTCAAATATTTATGTGTTATCAAAAGATAAGCCAGAAAACAAGTTTGCATTATATTCATTCACAAGTGATATCCACCACCCTATCCCCTCCATGCCAAGTTTTGATAAAAGGATACTATCTGTTCAACAGTTCCACTTTCTCTTCTGGTGTCATCACTTTGTGCTCTGGCACTAACTGAAATAATCGTGAAGATTAATAATTTGTTAGAGTTAAATGCCCAGTGGCCTCATTTACTTACTGGAAAGAAAATTCTACTTGGTTAATCAAGCGTGACAGCATGTAAAATTGTATCTTTAAAAAATCTGCATTAAAGGAAATAAGTACCTGCTGTATATTTTTAAGTCTGTAAAAACTGCAATATTCCCGTCTAAAAAAAACTGTGGCATTTGGGAGGTTAAGAGCTGACAACTACAATCTTGAGCGTAATACTAATAGTAATAGAAGGGGAAAATCTCTCACCATATGCTCTGTTATGTTGATGAGCAACTCAGATTCAATAAACTGCTCCAAGATATATTTTGGAGCCATTTCAACCAGAGCCTGAAAAGAACAGTTGGCAGCTTCAATATGTTACAGAAAAAATGAGGCTTTAACTTTAAATACTTTTGTAAACTTAATTTAATGTTGTTGAGTCAAGCAACTGCAAATATTCACGGAAAAAAATATTTCAGTAAAAATACAGGAAAATGTAAAATTCACCTAAATAAAACTTGCAAATTTCAGCCTTCAGATAGTTATAAGTCCAAAAACAGAGAAATTACTAGAAATAAACCAGCCCTTAATTTATTTGGGGTAAAAATCTCCCCCCCCCCCCCAAACTATTATAAAAAGTATTAATAGCCCTTTACCTGTTTAGCAGATGGTGTCATGCCTGTCTGTACAACAATAATGGCTCTCATAATGTTTTCTTCCTGCATTCGTTGGCAGTAGGTCTTGATTGTTTTAATTCCCACTTTGCTCTCATCCGGGAAAAACACGAACATCTGATCTGTTGATGCAAAAATTTTAATGTATTCAAAATTATGCCTTGGCACATGTAAAAAATAATATTTTTGATAACATCACAGCATAAAATATTACTGGTACTGGTACTCAAGTAGATTGTTTATTTGATTCTATTTGTACAATTATTGAAGAAAAATTTGCAATTTCAAAGAAAGACCAGAGTATGCAACTGTTATATTTTCCTACCAGTTGGGTCATCATTGTGTGCTACTAGTACAATCAAATCACTGCGACTAGGTTTTCTTTCACTGTAGAAATAAAATAATAAGATTAATAACAGCATTCTATCTGTGGTAAAATTTAGGGTTGGAATATACATTTTTCTCAGTCAAGATTCTATTCCTGTGGCCAAAATGTTATTTTATTAGTGTCTAGGTCTCTCATACCTGATATTCTGCCACAAAAAAAGGTACTGTATAGACTCACATATAAGCCTACATCACATATAAGCCGACCCCCTAAAACTGCTTTAAAATGGCCAGTTTTTGCAAAATCCCGCATATAAGCCGACCATACAATGGTCTAATTTTACTCCATATTTTTGGTTCATAGAAATTTTTTACTGTAAAGATGTAAAATGCTTACTTTTATGTTACATACCAGTTTGTTTACCTTTTGGAATGACACAAAAACGTGTTCTGCTCTTTCATACTCAGTATAATTATCAGCTATGCATACATTAAATTCTTTGAAGTGACACCTCTGTATATATAATATATACTATTGACACTTCTATTGCTGCCCACAGATACTACTTACCAGCTAAGTGCTATTTCTTATTTTTATACCGTTTTTTCTGTTGTTTTGTTCGCTGACGAAGGCTTTCTGCCGACACATTCGCTGTTTTGTTGCGTTTATTTTTTCAGGTTTAACCCTACTCTGTTTTACTCATTTTATTTTATATATATATTAGTACACTGTTCTCACAACCAAATAAAGAGTCAGAAAGCGATGAAAATGTGCGGCTGGAAAATTGGCATTTGTGTCTGTCCTTGTGTCCATTTTGTTTTATGCGCATATAAGCCTACCCCCTGATTTCAGTAATGTATTTTATAGTTCTAAATTCGGCTTATATGCGAGTATATACGGTAATTCTCATAATATACTCTAGGCATCAGAACTGAATTTTGATCTCTTAACTTATGAGGGGAAACAACCACTCATGTACAACTACAACTTATTGTTAAAATTAACTATGCCATAATCATATAATCCCATACCTGGGTTTGTCACCAAATTGTGCTTTGAAACCATCCAGGGTTTGGTCCAACTCCTCTTGTGTTACAAGGTAGCCACGGTCATGGCATAGCTAGTAATAAAAAAAAATCAATAGTTCAGTTTCAATAATGCCAGTTCGGAGTGGCTTAATGTAATGTCCGGTACCGGGATTGGTGGAAGCTGAATGTTCCTGTCATTTAGGCAACAAGATATTCTCTCAAGGAAACATAAACTTTGTCAACAGAGTCAACCTTACTGGATGCACCCCATTGAAAATACTTGTATCATTTTAACAACATTACCCCTGACACTAACAAGTATATTGTCTTTGGCTTTGCATAAATTAAAACAGATTTGGATACATTACTAATTACTGTACACAAGGAAAAAAACTTATTGTAACCTCCTTAACATTCATGACAACAACTCCAATGTCAATAAAATTGTTACTTTAAAATGTTGATTGTACCAAATGTTATCCGAACTGACCCTGTCTTTTCTATTATTACTGTATCCAATGCATATGGCATGGAGCATTGATAATCATTGTTATACAAACAACGAAAAAACAAATTGATCATTACTGTACATAAAACATTGTAAAAGAAATCACCAACATGTATAATGTAATATTATAGTCTAATACTCGTAACTTCTTTAACACAACCTTTTCATAGGACTGTTTTGTTATCCAACTGAAAAATAGGTTATCCTATTTCCTAACCACCCCCGTGCCAATTGGTTCGCATTATGGGGTTTCTACTGTACTTTTTTTTAAATTTCTAAATTTTTAAAGTAATAATTATTATCAATGGCTTAACTGCCATGACTGGTTGAAAAATGTATACATGATTCATAGCAGGGTCATTTCCCCTGACAATGAAAATCTATGACACCCCGTACAGAAGAAACTTGTTTATCAATAAAAATCCACTGATTTAGGAATAATTTGGAAATTTCATAGTAGAATTAGAATGGTGTTAGCACATGTTGCAATTATGAATAATTAGAAAACAGTATAATCACAATGTAGATTAATATGTAGGCCAGTGTTTGCCCAAAGTTGTTTTCTTCTGTGGCATGTTTTTTTTTTTATTCATGCTTCTTGACCCAGTAAATTTTGGTCTGATTAAATAATGTGTGTGTGTGGAATAATTCTAAACTCACTGAAAACACAAAACTAAATGTCTACCAGACATGAGTGCTTAGTAGTACGCTCCTCTATGGCAGTGACAAATGGAGCACATACATAAACAGAAACTCAACAGCTTCCACCTGACCTGTCTTTGGTGTATTTAATGGCAGGACAATGTGCCTGACATAAGGGTTCTGAAGTGCACTGAAATTTGTAGCATGTTTTCCAATGTTAGTATGAGGCTATGTTAAGATAATGGAGAGAGGCCATATTTCTGTCTTACTTTATGGAGAATAGGCAGAGAGCAAAGACTTAATGTCTGTGCTATAAAAACATTGGTTAAATAAACATGAGGGAAGCCAACATCGAAATCGGTGAATGGGTACACTGGGTGAACCACTGAACATAATTCTACCTGGCAAAGCAATGAATGTAGGAAGAGTTTCCGCAAAACTAATCCCTTACAGCAATATGTAAGGCCATTAAAAACCAGCAGTCAAGGTTCCCCTGTGAATAGTGCAGTGAGAGTGCCACTCCAAGATCTGTCTCATAGCCACTCTCAAGAAAGTACTAAAATACAGAAGCTACACAATCATATCACAGAGATGGAAGGATGTGAACTATCTCACAAAAGACATTATGATTAGATTTTCTAATATGTGTACTGTGTGAACTTTATTTTACTTGGGAGGAAAATAAACTACACCCTTTATACTTTATTGCCTTTACGATAAATCTTATGTAAATAATGTTATGGCAACTTATGGCTTTAAGTTTAAGTGACCTAGGACAGTTTCTTTGATAGAATCTGCCATCTCCATAAATCTACATCGACACTTCACTGTCATTAGATAGTGCTGGGATATTTACTTGTGGCTTCTTCTCCTGTTCTACATAATTTAATTTTTCTTACGTGATCAGATTTATTTAATGATGGATAAATGGTATGCTAAAATTGTCGTAGTTAGAACTATACATTTTTTAAAGCGATTGTGTGAGTATGACATGAGGAAAATTAGTTTCAGCAACGTTTTCAGATTGGGGCCTATTTTAATTATTTTACTTAAGTTTTACAGTTTCAGTATTTAAATTAAAATTTGAAAAAAATCCAACAGACCCCAACCCAATCAATCGCACAATCCAATGCCCTAGCCCTAAGTCAAATGCCAATGACCATTCGTCAATTTTTGAATGCCAATAAATAATGCGCTCAAGTGGCAATCCAATGATTGCGCAATGCCTGATTGACGGTTGAATGACATAACAACATTAAAAAATTTCTTGAATTGTCAACTCAACTCAATGAATGGCATTCTGGTTAGTTTAGCGAATTAATGAAATTAATCATTAATGAAGTTAGGCTATAAATGAATTTATATATCCATTAAAACATTAAACATACTTGCATGACAGTTTTTCTAATCCTCCATAATTTATACGTTTCTTGTTGATCATCCATTTCTTATTCGAAAGACAACAAAATCAAAATAGTTTTACACTGCAGAAAGAATGCTCCACTCAGTTTTAGATAAACCAACTAGAGTGATCTCTCATTTCCGGTTGTTCTACTTCAAAATAAGAGTTATCCTTCTTTAAATAGTATCGATAAAAGTATGGATAGAGTCCGGAAATTGATTCATTTCATAATAGTTTATGCCGTACTTGAATATATGACCCGATATTACCGCGATCATAATGGCAGGCATATTGGGATGTTTTACCTGCTATCGCGAAAACTCATCAGAATTCTTTTTTTTTTAAATAAAAGAAGTATATATGTAATGATGTTTACCTTTCTAATATCATTCAGTTTTGAGAAATATTTATCTTCTGTATAATATCCACCGTACCCTTTTTGTGGCCCTGAACTCATTTCTTTTATTTTAAAAATTGTGAAACATGACGACACGACGTTAAATTTACACCCCAAAAAATCTATATACCATTTTAAATTTAGGTCCTATTTTAAATTATCCGAATTTTAATAGAATACTTATATTTTCAATAAAAATGTAACCAAACTTTTGCCTTGTTTTTCTACTATATTATGGGAAAATCGTAAAACAAATAATTATTTTATCTAAACAAGAATAGCTTAACCAATTTAACGTCTGTAACAGCCTTGTGTGTTTATTTTATTTTTAAAAAAAGAAATGTTAACAATCTCTTAAAAATATACACCCACTTCGCTTTCCCTTTTTTGAAAGAAAATCTCAACACATCGTTGTTCACGCACAAGAACTGTAAAGGAAAACAAAATATGGCTCTTTTTTCGAGATTAAATTTTCACGTGTGTAAAATAATTGGGTTTGGATATTTTTATTTGAGGTATGAGTATACTTAAGTAAATGTACCCACGCTTTATCAGCGCCAATCAACTACATGTTATTAATTGGTAAACGTAAATCGGGTAATTATTTGTAAAAAGAGAAAATAACAACTCTTTTTCAAGACTGTAATATCATTGGAAGTAAAGATATTGTGATCCACGTAAAAATGCACACACCCTATTTCCTATCCCCCAATATAATTTATGTACCTAAGAAGGTTAATTATTTCATTAAAACTTATTAAATGATAAAAATACAAAGCTAAAATTAGTAAAATTGCTATATTCCAAGTTTAAATGTTGCTCTTTTGAAATTAATATAATTTTTCTTTACGTGAGTACAATAAAAAATTTCAATTTAATATTGTTTGAAGACATTAAGATCAAATTAGTTTTAATTTCATTTGAAATTTTTAACAACGCATTAAATAACACACTATAAAACAACTGATCTTGAGTTTTCCCAATAAATGTGATCATGATTTAATACAAATAATTCTTAAATCATAATTTATTAATTTAAAAAAATTTAAACTTACAATTTCAGGTAAAATGATTGAAATAGTTCCTTAATTGTTATTTTAAATGTATTTGTAATTTATAATAATAATACTTAAAAATCTATTAAAATAAAAGCTGATATATTTTATTGTGTGCGCATTTAAATGTGTTCGATTACCGGTAAAAAAAAAATAAAAAAAAGAAGGAACAAAAATAAAGAAAATCACTAGCATTTTTTTAAAAGAATCCGAATATGCTTAAATTAATTCGTTTCTTTTGTGTTACATTGGATACAATTCTCAAGCCTGCACAACTCAAAATGTAAGGCAGGCCGTAATACTTTATGAAAAACATGTGCGGGCCAAAAGATAATAGGACAGGGGGGGGGGGAAGCTATTAAGAAAATAATTATAATAAAGAATATTTCGTTAGTTCGCGGGCCGAAAAGTGGGTGCCGCATGCGGCCCGCGGGCCGTATGTGTGCATACTTGCCCTAGCTAATTCATAGACATATAATAGACTATCTGACTATCTGATAATATATTATTGTTTAGAAAAGGCTTTGATACAACAATTTGTATCTGAAGTATTATGATTTTATGCTTTGGTATTTTAAAAATAAAATCACAATGAGCTCTGTAGTGAACGTGGTTAAATTATGTGTGATGTCACAATAATAAATTGTATTTAGTAACTAGCCAATAAACATGGCGTGGCCAGGGATTGCATTCGAAAAAAATCACACTACTTCAGCAGCCTCTTAACTTACATCGAAATTAATGGGCCTGTGAAAGCACATTTATAAAATACGATGCAACAGTTATCCCATTTCCCGTTCCCATTCCGATCCCCAGTGGATCATTTCCCTGTAATGATCTCATTTCCAAGATATTATCGAGATCCCTATGGGACAGAGGCGTAGCGAGGGGGGGGCAGGGGGGACAGATTCCCCGGGCTCCAGCTAGTTAGGGGGGCCAAAAATGTGCTTTGATATTGTATTATTGGCAAAAATAATGGGTTTGACATTTGAAAAAAAATAATAAAAAGGCGCTTTAAAATTGATCTTGTCCCCGGGCGCGAATCTTGTCCCAGGGCACCAAAAACCTTCACTACGCCTCTGCACTGGGATCCAGATCTAGTTGGAATCCCTTTCCCGATCCCAATAGGATCCCGATGGGATACCGATGGATACCGTTTCAAAATGGGATCCTATATCCCAATGGCTTTCATTTCCACGTAGTATGATTCAGACCCCATTGGGATCCCGTTACCAGCCCCTCACCCATCGTCTCACCCCCATTGCAATCCAGGTGGTATTCCGCTTCCAGATGGGATCCAGGTGGGATTCCACTTCCAAATAGGATCCAGGTAGGATCTTGACCCCACTGGGAGTTCGATGGGATCCCGTATATAAAGATAACTCATTGATACCGAGAAAATACCCAAGACAGTATAGAAATGACTAGAAATACACTAACACTTCAATAAATGTCATAATATTTACCCTTTTTCATTTAAGTTAATGAGGTCGCCGGTGAGGGCCCATTCCATAAGGTAGGCTACTGTTTCAGTTATGCTTGAGAAATGGGTCTCCCCATAAAATCAATTAGATAAAAAATGTAGTTAAATTTTAAAATGTGTCTCATTAAAATCGATTTCATTTTAAATAAATGGCCTAAGATATAGCTTTTTTAAATTATCGAACTTTCTAGGAAATTCTAGACCGGTCCAAAATTGATTAGATATTATTTATTTTAAATCCACCGATATTTCAAACGGACTAGGGAGGGTTGATACCAAAGGCTTATAAAAGGAGAAGTAAAATGAGCCCCACGCCCCAAAGGAATTGATTTCCGTACCCTTCGATATTAGAATACGGATAATCAAGTGTGTGTGTACTAAGTTTGGTCAAGATCCATTCATATTTGTTGGAGAATTTGCTGGTAATTTTATTTATGTAGCTCATATTAGTAAAAAACTAAATTAGTTTAATTAGGGGCCACAGAGCCTGAAAGGAATATTTCTTAAAGTTAAAAAAAAAACCCCAGACCCCAGTATTTGATTATGGATAGTGATGTAGGCCTATATGTGTGCCCAGTTTGGTCAAGAGCCGTCAATTAATATAGGTGTTTAAATAGTATCTTTCATCTTCCTAATATTAGTAATAACTTGCTAGTTCTATCTTTTTCGTTTTTGGCTATTAATAAGAGTTATTGTTTTTTAGGCGAAAAATGTATTTGTTTATAATCGATTATACTATTTTCTCAAGATACTCAACAGTATTTTTAACATAATCGACTGCTGTATTTACTCTACCTCTGTTATGACCTTCGACCATCCTATCGATCCGTTGCCGTGACTATTTATAATATATTATTTGCGACTGTGCTTTGGACTACATTCATACATACATGAGGGCATCGCGTTCTAGTTTCTCGTCCATACTTCAGTTGCTCAGACCGATTGAATTCTCATTCCAGAAAGTAAAGTACAGCTACAGCATAGGTTCTTGCGCAAGCATTTTAAATATGGTAAGCGAGTTAAGTATAACAGTTAATATGAGTTAAGTTTCCATTACACAGACTTTGACTTTAATTATAGTCATATAACTAGACCTTATCATGCCTATAATAAATAATATAATTTATAATATACCGGTTATATAATTATTATAAGAATGATGGCCACAGCACTATTAGTCATAATGACTATTATGGTCTTGCACGTTGTTATAAGAAACGGTATGAGCTTAGGCTTAGCTGGAGACCAGTGGTCACTGAGGACTGACTAATTTAATTTTAAATTCAGTAACCTGTTGTAGCACTAGCAAACGGATTAATGAGTCACTGTCAATGTGATAGCATGTATCATGTTGTCTACATTGTAGAACTTATTCGTACAATTAATTAGAATGCAAATTAAAACATGGATGACAATGATAGTAAATTCATATCATAATATTGGGTATTGTATTTAATAAATAATATTAGTAAGTATCAGGTGATCTAAAAAAATAATTGACCCTTGGCTTATGACTTATGGCCCTTATCACTTGTTACCTGGGTCATATAAGGAAATTTTCAATGTGGTAAAAAAATTAAAAATGTAAACCCCCCCCCCCCCCACCTGTTTTGTAAAATTGAACAAAAACACCATAAAGATATTTAGGCTGATTACTAATTAATAGATATTTATTTAAGAATTAAATTATTTACAAGAATATTAATTAGGCCCTTAGTCGTAGCCCTAGTGCTTGGTCTAAATGGCTGAATGGGCATAACTAATATAAGAAATAGACAATACCATGGAACACAATTTTAAATATTACTTTATAGCATTACTTTGCACTAAATGCAAAGTAAACAGAAATAATTTTAGTTTATGCCCTTACAATAACCATGTCATTTAAAAACTTCCAACCAGTTAAACTAAGAAGTGCCATCCATAAATCACTCTATTTTGGTACATTTTTTATTCCTTCCCTCCTGACAGATGTGTGAAATAATTTATGGATTTATTAAGGGCAATCAATAAACTGAACATTTGACTGCTGGTACCAAGTCCTTTGAAATTATATGCAACACATTTCATCTATTGTATGTTATATATTTTAGATAAGATAATATTCTTTTATTGATCCAAATACATGGAAATTTGTTTTGATTAGATTGTTCATATTCACCACGTCCACATTGATCACCAAGACAACATTTTTTAAACTAGAAGAATTTAAACCCATTAAATCTTATTTACTAATTGTAATTGTAACATCCTGACATTTAGTGTTTGTTGACCACAGAGTGAAACATTGTAATTGTAACATCCTGACATTTAGTGTTTGTTGACCACAGAGTGAAATTCACCCAGAAATCAGAAAAATCATGTGGCGGATTAATACTGATGATGAATAATAAAAAACTGGACTATTTTTGTCAGCCATGTTGGCGAGCTTCTAACATTACTGAGTGATCTTTGAATGTTCAAACAAGAAGGTCACATGAATCTATTGTCTGAGTACACTTAGGCCTGATTCACTTATATAATTTGAGTAAATAAACATAATCATATTATTTATTCATTAGTTTATTTCACATTGACTCTGTGAATCGGAGCATTTATTTAAGTATTATATGTATAAATTAAAATAATAAAGTGATTGTTTGTGAAGACCAGTCTCAGAATTTCATTTCACAAGTGGTCAATGGGATGTCCTAAATAGTTAACCTGGACTAGTTAGCAAGGTTACACTACTGTATTTCTCACCTGAAAAAATCAGCCATCATATACACACCTAAAAAATCTCACTCCTGTAGTGACAATATTGGCTTAAAGCATGATTGTTTGATATTGTAACTGCTGAACAAGTTAGTAGCAAGTTTGAAACATTTTTAAAAATTATCTCACAAAATTTGTTTTTATCTCCATTTGATTTGCTCAAATTTTTTTCAGTTTATATATTTATATTATTATTATATTAACAGAATTTTTTTAATCCATTTGTTTTTCAATTTTTATCTTTCTTTTAAAATTGGTACTATAAGTATAAGTACCTGGTATGCAGTTAGTAGATAGTGAATTTCAAGCCTCTATTATTTTATAAAGGGGCACCAAGGATTTTTTATTTATTGTTGATGATTTAGGGCTGCAAAAAATCAGCCATCATATACATCCCTAAAAAATCTCACTCCTTAATTTTCTGCAAATTTAGTTTAAACATGGGAAGCAGTAACCTAACTCAGTTCCTGTGAAAAGTCAGAGTCTTTTGTAATTTTGATTACTGTCGCCATGGCTTTCTGTTTAAAACAATGACACAGTTTGTGAATGTAAAAAAAAAAAAAAAATTTTTTTAAAACTCTCAATAAATTATATTTCTGAAGGCTCATGTCTACAGTAAAATTATCAAATATTTTTAAGCTTTTGACATCGTTTGTAGTTAGAATTTAAGATTCAAGTGTTAAATTATTTCATAAATAACTTCAAATTGGGACGTGAGATATTGTGTTGATTTCCTTAACTTTTAGAAAAGTGTAGGGTGTTAACACTGCACTCTATTTCTACTGTAGTTGGAATAGTAATTTTAATTGTGCTGCTGGTCATTTACTTTTGGTATTGTTTTTGCTTTTTAAAGACTTCCTCTCTACTCACATTTTCATCTTCTGTACTGGTAATGTTATAATTTCAATCTTGTGGAGCGTTATATTTTTGTTTACACAAGTGACATTTTAAGATTGAGTCTTTCTCCTGCTGCGAATGAGTGAGCTCAGATCTATTTTTTAAAGATAGCATAACTTTGAGTATATACCAAAGTGCCACTTGACAGGCAAGGTTTTGCAGCTTAGGATCCATTCATTAGTGGTTTGTGAAAATATGGTTAAATGAAGAATGTTAGTTTTTGTACTTGGTGCTACAAAGTAACTTGTACTTGTATTAATTTGCAACCAACTCATTCATCAAATCTTTAATCTGGAACTTGAGGGAAGGCCACACAAAAAAAGCCTTGAATCCTTGATAATATCAAACCAATTGTAAAAATTCTGACATGTTGGAAAATAAAATTTATTAAATAAAAGACATTATCACGAAAAATGAAATAAATCAGAGTTTAATGAGGCAGGAAGTTAAATATTTCGAGAATTTTTTGTATTCAGGATATATGTGAGCATGTAGTTGATTAAATGTTTATATGTCTAGTAGTTACTAGTACAGTCTAGCATCAGTCTGTTTATTTTTGTTAAGTACCGGTACAAACTTGCAGCCATGCCTGTCCATGTAAAGTCATTTGGTCTTGTAAAAGTCTGCAATAATCTTTTTTTTTTAAATTCTCGTTACAGGCTGCTGGTGGTGACAACTGGAAAAAAGCTAAATCAATATATGAATTTAGTGCACTAGATATAGATGGTAACAATGTGTCATTAGAGAAATACAGGTACCAATGTTCTCTTTTAACTAAGTCTTATCATGTTCATTTGACTTCCTTTAGTAAAAAAATAAATTAATCTGTTGATTGATAAGAACATATTACTGCAGTTATGCACATTTTTGTTTAAATTAAAGCCACATTCTTTATATCTTGCTTATAGAGGTAAAGTTTGTCTCATTGTCAATGTTGCGTCAAAATGAGGTTTCACCAGCAAAAATTATACTCAGCTGCAGGCCCTGCACGCCAAGCATGCTGAGAGAGGTTTGGCCATCCTTGGATTCCCCTGTAATCAGTTTGGGAGTCAGGTTAGTTCCATGAACATCAACATTCTATTTAGTCACTTTATTATTTATTTCCTGTGCAATTTGTTAATTAATAAACACGGCACTTCAAATTCTAAACATTCCTTTTGTTGCGACCCCAGTTTTAAAATGTCATGTAAGATAGGAAAATATTCAAAACCTTTTATGTGTTTTTACTTTGTGAAACCAAAAGAATATAATGTACCTGTTGCACTGTACATTGAATACATAAAATTACCAAATTATTAACATTGATTATTTTGTTTAATTGTCAAGGAGTTACATTTATCATTTATGAAAATATTAATTTTAAAATTTCTATTTTTAAACTGTTTTAATCAAAATAGTCGTCAACCCTGGACATATAATAAGATCATCATTGTAAATGCTTAAACTTAAAATACTGATACTTCCATATTGAAAAACTTGTCTGCTAAAATCAGGTCAAACTTATCTTGACTTATCTTCATAAAAACTATAAATATATTCTAATCAAGTCTCCAATTTGGCTCTTGCTGATGAATGCCCATCTCATTTTAGGAACCAGGAACTAACGAGGAGATAAAAAAGTTTGCCAAAGAGGGTTTTAATGTTGAGTTTGATATGTTCAGTAAGATAGATGTCAATGGTAAAAACGCACACCCTCTTTATGAATATCTCAAGCATGTGCAAAAGGGAACTTTAGGAAAGTAAGTTCAGTTTTTTTTGTTTAATTTCATTTAAAGATGTGCGGGAAATAAATATGCAACCATATTTGCACAGTCTTCAAGATTTTTCTTTGATTTTCAATTAGTTCTACTTTATTCCTTTAGTTTTTCCATTATTTTATTTAAATTTTAAATCACAATTTTTTTACATTACATTTTTAATTGTATGAATACAAGTTTTTATAAAAATTTCTAGCTTCATCAAATGGAATTTTTCCAAGTTTCTAGTCAACCGAGAAGGTATACCAGTCAAGCGCTATGCCCCGAATGTGGAACCTTTTGTAAGTTTCAATTTAGTCTATGAGAATAATTACTGAAATTATTGAATTTATGTATAAATCTGCATGTTCCTGGCCCTTTAACTGGACACTTCTATAACTTATAAGTATCTTAAAAATGTGCAAGAAATAAGTGTAATTAGAATGTTAGTAAATAAATCTATATCTGTAGCGCTATTTAAAACAAAATATAAATGAACCATAGCTAACGTTTTTAAAAATGTGTATAATTCTTGTTTTAAAAATCTAATGTATAACTGCATACAGTAGTATAATGAAACCTAAGTGGTTTTTTTTTAGTTTCTTTGTTACCAGCCGTTGATATCCCATGGTAAAAAAAACTATACTGCTTGTTCAAAAATAATTTCAGCTCTTCATAGTGCTAAATATAATTCACACACTAAACAAAGAACTTTTAGTAGAATAAATTTAGATAAGTGTAGAAAGGAAAGAAATTTACAAATTCTGTGATTACGTTATTTCCTTAGGCGTTTGAGAAGGACATCGAAGAACTACTTTAATATTTGAGTGTTTTACACCAGAGAACAGGTGAAACAGGCTGCTCATGAAGACACAGACATTTGTGTATAGATTTTTTTAATTTTGGAAATTCTTTGTTAATATATTCTTAATCATTTGACAAATGGCTCTGAGCAGATTATTTGTATTGAAATATAATTTTATAGCAGATTTTAGAAGATTAATACTGTTATCAAACAACAGTATTTTTTTTTATAATTCTTGTGAAATTTTATAATCAATACAATTACACTGCAGGGAAAATTTATATGTTCTATTATTAATGTAAAATTTTCATAGACCAAAGAGAGACCTCCATTTAAGGTGTAAAGTGTCCATGTATTAAACTGTCTCCCAGACAGACTGATGATAACAAGACCCCAAACCCTGATGGGTGGGACTTGTTGGACACCAGCACGTGCAGGAGCTGGCTGGGCTGGGAGCAGTGACATCATTGGTGGTTCCACCTTATTTTGAAGTTGATCTTGGTCAGCTTTAATGTAGAATTAAAACAACTCTATGTCTTACCCATTTTTATTTATATAAATATATGTTATGTGTTGACTGTGAAAACAAAGTTAGTTGGAACATTTATCTGTAGCGTTGTGAAATAAATCTCATCAAAAAATAAAAATTTTTAAGAATATTACAGTAAGGTACATTAAAAGCAGACACTGGTACATAGAAAGAAGTGTTGGGAAAATATGTAATGTAATCCTCTGAGATCATGAGTTATTATGAAAATTGTTTTAAATTGATGTTGCTATTTGTAAGTACGGGTCGGTAAGGATAATATAATTTAACATTAACCCTTAAAGGAGAAATAGTTTTTGAAAAACTCCTTATTGAAGACTTTGCCTACTATTTTTTAATCTTACTTTTGTTTATTAACCTAATAAAGAGAATTTATAATATGTAATGTATGTTTGTTTGTAGTTTAATGCCTACTTTTACTATTCACTGATTTGAAGATATTTGCAATATACTGTTTACAATCAGTTTAAATGCAATCTAATAAAAAATTGTTAAAATATGTCAACAGTGGACCGACTGTTTGAAAAATTATCAAAACTCCTAATTAAGGTCACCCCAAAAAATGCAAATTTAAGTTTAGCCTACTAATAGTCTAACAAATAAGGTTACAATAATCAGTTTCTCCCTTCAAAACAAAAACTATTATCTTATGTATATAATTCAATGTATTTATATTCTGGTAATAGTAATGATTATTTTACACAATGGTAGGTATTTCATAATAATTATTGACTTGGTGGAAAAAATATTGTGATGATCTTTAATAACTGTCATGCTTGATCTTCAAAGCTTTCTAAGACACCTATAAGAAAAAAGAAGATGAAAGAACTAAGAACTGTATTAAATTATTAAATACAGTTACTTGTAATTTATTAATGTAGAAAGTATTTGTGCTAGTACTAGTACAAGAACTTAAACTATCATTTTTTAAATTAAAATAAAGGGGGGGGGGGAGCAAAGATTAAAAAAAAATTATAATCATACATATCATTTAACATATCCATCCCTGTGGCCAACAGCCCATGTAGGGCTTTGGCAAGCTTCACCACTTCCTTCAACTCAGACCTAACTGATGCTTTTCTTTTCCATGCTTGGATTTCCTGCTGCTGTTGATCTTTTTCCACATCATCCAAGACTAGGTCTGCCTTTGAGCCTTTTCCTCTGGGGTTTTGGTGATGCACCTCATTCCTCTATTTGGCATTCTTTCTAAGTGTCCTGTCCAGTGTAGCCTACCCTTTTTTTTTATTTCTGCTACTAGTGTGGGATTCTAATTATAGACTGTGCAGTTCCTGGTTGGTTCATATTTATATTCATATATTCATATTTATCCTTTGTTGGTCCATATATATATTTTCCAGATAACTTTTTTCTCCCATATGTTTAATAGGTTTCTGATGGTTTTTTAAGGGTCCAAGTTTCACTTGCATATCTCCCATGTTACAACTGGTCTGATTAGTTTTATAAATAGATTTCTTTCTTTCTCTTCTAATGTTTTTACTTTTGAATATTTTCTGACTACAGACGTATGCTCTGTTTCCGTATGCTCTGTTTCCGGTGGATATTATTTCTATTAGTGTTAGTAATTGGTTTCTTTCATTTAATAAAGATCCTAGGTATTTGAATTTATTTACTTTTTAAATTATTATCAGTACCGTACCTAGGTGAAAGAATATGTTAAACATTTTATTCCAAACTTACCTTCTAAAAATGAATAGCAATCTTTTGTTTCAAACACAGAATCTAAAGCAAAAAATAAAAAATTGTTAAATTTCAAATAAGTAAATCTTGAAAACAGCCTTAAGTTAAGAGATGTCAAGTGACATACAATTAGTTGACCAAAAATGCACTAACATTTGTGAATATATAATGTAACAAAATAAAATGAAAAAATGTTTTAGTAGAGAAGGAAGTCATACCCAAGTGTTTACGTAAAACTATTTTCCTTTTGTCTCTAACTGTGCGCATTGCAGCCTCTTTGGCTAAGCTCTGAATGAAAAGTTCCTGTAAATATTTTTGATAAAAATATAATTTAAAAAATTTCAAAAGGTAGAAGCAGAAAGAAGTAGGATATAATATACTGGTAATTAAACAGGTATTGATAGATAAAAATACGCAAGATCACTTTTCTTACTAAAACAAATGTTGCAACTTTTGTTTCCTAGCTTAAAAATCCAAAATAAAATACATTAACATTTTTAAAAATAATCAAATCATTGGGCTGTAGACAATGAAGTCTAAAAGGTGTTACATGGTAGGGTTAAAGGTAAATGCCAATACTCTGCAGAGTGAGTAGCATTGTTACATTTTGTTAAATGGTTTCAAAAATTTTATCTGTTTTAAGATTTGGTTCGTTGAATGAACAATACGTAACGAAGGATTGAAAACCAGTATACACAGAAAAATGATACCATAGCAAAAGCTAGTGATATTAACTAACAATATTCACACAAAAAAAGGAGGGGAGGTAAGGTTGAGGGCCACTGTTTGTGGTGAATAAAAACAAGATTGACGTACAGGCTGTAAGACTGTCCTTTCGCAGACAATTATCAGATTACAACTTAAGCTATAAACTTCAGTGCACTGTATATAACAACTCAAACTGAGACTAAGCTAGGGAAGAGGGTGAGTACAGGTCTTCGGCGAGATAAAATATCTGTAGAATACATAAAATGACTATGTTCATCCCAAATTATGCTCAGGCCAATCAATGTGAGACATGAAGCATTGAGCTTTAAGTTTTAGCAATGTGTGCATCTTAAGAATGAGTTTCTTTTACCGGGTATAAATGTCTTGAATCGCGTAAGTTCAATTGGAATGAAAATGAATGGAAAATTTCATTTTAATATTTCCTATAAACTGTCCTGCTATTTATGGAGACGCTAATACTGCTCCATAAAGAGCAGGAAAGTTATCATACATATCCCGTTTAGGTCCAACTGTTGATTCGGTCACCCTAAGTCAAGTGCTGGGATTCCCCAATGTAACGTCACTGTGCTGAGGATGAGACAACTCTTGGAAAAACCCATAATACCATTAATCATTTTACACATTTACCGTTTGTTACCTGTTCTATCCAACATCAGCCATTTATTATTATTTTTTAAAAATTTCTGAGGTTACATTTAAAAGATGTAATCTGGGTTAATTTACGCAATCCATGCCACTTTGAATTTATGTGTAGGATTCTCTCCCCTTTGCTATTCGAGGTGAATTAGCTTTTCTTTTTGTAATATTAGTATGCCAATTGGAATGTTTTTGATTGATGGATTTTCAAATTAATATTTCAAAAGGTAGTTAATTGTATTTCAAAAACGAGGTTATGGTAAGAGGCTATTTTGTCTGCTTTTGGAAAATGTATTATTATTATTATTATGCTATTTCTTTCACTTTTTGATTTTTAATTTGGGTGGAATCTGATATAAAGTGTGTAAAAGTAAAAGTGTATGGTATGAAACGGTAAGTTGGGTTTTAATTATTTATACTATTTATAACATCATTTTATCTTTTTAATTTCTCATTGCAATACAGTGTGTAACTGTATCACACAAACACATGATTTTAGAGTTCATGCTGGCGATAGGTCATAGATCTTTAGGTTTGAAAATTCATGTTAAAGTTTGGGGGTGAGGGGACGACATTAAATTTAGGGGTAAATTTATGCTCAAGTTAGGGGGCACTAACTTTACGGTGGAATTTAGGGTTGAGTTAGGAACACTGTCTGATTCGGGTTAGGCAGTGTAGTTGATTTTCGAATTGAAAGTTTTTTCTCAAAATATTACATTAAAATTTGAACATATTTTTCCTAATTTTAGTTTCTCTCTGTAAATAGTTTAAACAACTCATTTTTTTCCCTTTTCTCTCCCAATTATAGCAGACAGACCTTTTTTTTGCACTCTTTTTTTAAATACACATCCATAAATTTTGGTGTGGGAAAAAAATAGGGTCAATTTATGCAATCCGCACCACTTTGTCTTTATGGTGTAGGATTCTCTCCCTTCTGTTTATTCTTAGATTGTTACTTAGAGTTAACTTCTCTTTAGTACAACAATGGAATAATTTAACTTACAATTTCATTGGGTGGTTAATTATACCGTAATATTTAAATTTTCCTGCATTTTGGAAAATGGGTAACAGTATAGTATTATTTTGTTTATCTGAAAACTTTTAGATTTTCCTTTTTTGGTGAAACCTAAAATTAAAGTGTGTAAAAGTGTATTCTATTCACTTGAAACGTTAAGTTGAGTTTTCATTATTTAAAAAATATTTTCTATTGTTTTTCTTCATTTTCACACTGATCTTACCATTGTGTGTAACTCATAACTGTAGACACATGTTTTGGATGATAGAAGGGAGCATAAATCAGCTGAAATTACATCAGGAAAGAGGGTGACTGCAAGTTGTTGACACTTTTGTTGCATATCTAGAGGGATACAATAAAGTTGCTACCTTCACCATGAAATTAATGTACCAGCTGAAATTATTTGATTAAATTTTAAAATTTGATTCCCATTTTCTCTCTCTGTGGAATTAGCCACAACAGCAAATTCTCTTTCTTCCCTCCTCTTTTTAGCAGATGGCGGCCATGGGAAATAAGTGGCAGGGATTGCGTAAATTTACCAAAAATAGTACCGGGTAATGCAAAAATATGGGGACATGTGTGGCGTTGATAGCATAAATTTACCGGTAATTAACCTTTAACGCAGTTGGCCATAACTTGGCTGTTTCAGATTTAGCGGCCCACAATGACTTTGTTAAGGTTAGGCATAGGGATCGATTTAGGGTTCCAGTTAGGCTTAGGGATACATTTCGGGTTAGGCTTAGGGATAGATTTAGGGTTCGGGTTAGGCATAGGGATAGATTTAGGGTTCGGGTTAGGCATAGGGATAGATTTAGGGTGCGGGTTAGGCATAGGGATCGATTTAGGGTTCAGGTTAGGCATGGCATAGTATTATAGTATAGGGATCCATTTAAGACGTAAAAGTGCGCGCATGGAAATAAACGCGGGCCGCTTTCTCTGAATTTACCCATAACTTAATTATAATAATAGTTTCTTTCACTACTTATACTTACAGCCGCTTTTGCGAGGGTTACTACTGCTTCATGGCTAGCAATTTTTACATCTGTGTCTGTCTTGATAATACCTCTGATTCGAGATAGTGGTAGTTTTATTAACTTCTCATGAGTTTCAGTACCTACGTTAATTTCAGTAGACTGAATTTCTATGTCAGTTTCTTCAATAGGAATGATGTTATCATTAGAATACTCTAGGTTAGAAATAGCTTCCACCCCAGTTTCTACTTCTTGTAATATGCCATCAGTGATAACTCCCGCCATTGTTGTTTATAATGTATTACCCTAAAAAAACTTTTACACAGAAGATCATCACTCTATCACAGTGGTTCACAATCTTTCTAAAGCCACGACCCTTTAAATACAGTTTCTTGTGTTGTGGCGACCCCTACACACACAATTATTTTCGTTGCTACTTCATAGCTGTTAGGATATGTGTTTTCAGATGGTCTTAGGCGACCCCAAAGGGGTCACGACCCCCAAAGGGGTCGCGACCCACAGGCTGAGAACCGCTGCTCTATCAGATACTCCGTACAACAATTTCAACCTCATGAAAACAACAAATAGCTCTGTCCACGCTGTTTATATTGTATCGTAATTAAGTATTAGTACAACACACTTGTCAAGCCTGTAATATAACCTTAAAAATTATTAATTACGTTCAGTACTTATGCATAATATGCAAGTACTTGCAACACAGTCCAGAGAGTAATACGACCATCACAATTTTCAGAAAAGAAGAAGAGGAAGAATTCGCCATGGTTATGTTGCAAAGCAAATGCACAGCCCTACCCTACCCTACATTCACATTTTACACAACGCCGTGAATCTTTGCTATGCTCAGAAAGTTACATTTCAATCGAGACAAATAAATTCACGACACTAATCGTTGATTCAGAATGGCTATCCCCAAAATTCTACGCCATATCAAATCCCAGGAAGCTTTTTAAGATTAGGGTTTAGGCCAGGAGCAGGGAAAACTTTCACGTTGGAAGGCCGCTTTCATTCATCTGAGAGTTCAAGAATTATATGATAATAATATATGTATTTATATATATATATATATATATATATTCCCAATATTTGAGGGCCCCCAATCAATGTATTGATCATTCTGTATCCTGGTTTGAATTCAGAGTTTGACTTCTATAAAATTATGTCTTAGCATTTTCTCCTCGGTTATATTTATTCTTTTATGTCGCCAAACCCTGATATCTCGAGTACAAAAGGCGGCCAATTTCGCCACTTAACCTCGGTTATCTCGATCCCCATGACCAATCGCCGGCTTTTGAAAATTATATACAACAGAAACGTCGCTACTTCCAACGGTAGTAATTGAAATAAAAATGACAATATCGTCTTCCGCGCAATTAACTTGACACAGCAAGAGGCGAGAGGCTTGCAAAAAAAAAAAAAGAGAGTGGTGCATTCTGGTTCTGGTAGGGTACTTTGCTGAACGAAGTGGCTATTCGGACCCGGGTCCGAGAAGTGAGAGGTTCTTCCAACGGTAGAAATTGAAAAAAAAATGAAAATATCGTCTTCCGCGCAATTAACTTGACACAGCAAGAGGGGAGAGGCTTGCAAAAAAAAAAAAAAAAAGAGAGTGGTGCATTCTGGTTCTGGTAGGGTACTTTGCTGAACGAAGTGGCTATTCGGACCCGGGTCCGAGAAGTGAGAGGTTGGGATTAAATGTAAAGAAAAAAATATGTAGTTGTTATGTTGTAAGACAAAATTTGGTATCAAATGAAAGATAATTGAATGGACTATATGTTTGTAAACTTTCTTCTTCAGTTTAACTAAAACAAACAGGTTTTTTTTTAATTCCCCCCCCCCCTCCCCTCTTCAGATGACTCGTCCAAAGTAAGAGAAGCGTCACCTAGTTCTAACGTCCTCATACATTTTGAAAATGCACCAAAGAGTCTGGCTGGCTAGAAGTCTGCAATAATTGACTTTGCCTTAAGTTCTTGCCTGATGACCTTGAACTTCCCCAATGCACGCCTATAATATAAGTTGATCGTCTCTAGTTGGGAAAAGGGAAGTAAACCAAAGGGAAAAAAAAGATCATCAACTATTTTTGTATGGATTGCATCCAGTGAGTTATAAATGGAGGGTGCTGTTTTAAATGTGCCGTCACTAAATAAATAATCAGCTGACAGAAACGCATTTAGATTTCTTTCTGTAGAAAACATTATAATTTACTCTTGATTTCCAACGCCATTTTAGGAAAAAAAAAGAAGAAATAATTTCACAGAAGTTGACTTCAAGTGTTGACCATCGATACCAAATTCCACTAAAGAGCTTGGTTCTATTGGTGCAGGATTCGCTTTATTTCTGATTCCCATTTCTTTGCTTAATTTGATTACTATTTATAACGAATTAGTCGATGAATTGTCTGTGGATGAAGTTTCCATGTCTGTGTTCTTTTCGGTGATTAAGTGTTCGGGTCGCTGTTCTTATCTGTCGATTTAATTTCTGTTGATTAATTGTCTGTCAATTAAATGTCTGTCGAGGAATTATTTGTCAATGAAATTTCTGTCACTTAATTGTATATTTGAATGAAAGATCCATCGATGAAATGTTTTGTCGATGAAGTGCCCGTCGGTGAAGCGCCCGTCGGCGAAGCGCCCGTGCCTGTCGATGAAGTGCCTGTCAATGAGGTGCCTGTCAATGAGGTGCCTGTCGATGAAGTGCCTGTTAATGAGGTGCCTGTCAATGAGGTGCCCGTCGATGAAATGCCCGTCGATGAAGTGCCCGACGATGAAGTGCCTGTCGGTGAAGTGCCTGTTGGCGAAGTGCCTGTCAATGAAGTGCCAGTCAATGAAGTGCCAGTCAATGAAGTGCCAGTCAATGAAGTGCCTGTCGATGAAGTGCCTGTCGATGAAGCGCCTGTTGATGAAGCGCCTGTCGATGAAGCGCCTGTCGATGAAGTGCCCGTCGATGAGGTGCCCGTCGATGAGGTGCTCGTCGATGAAGTGCCCGTCAATGAAGTGCCCATCGATGAAGTGCCCGTAGGTGAAGTGCCCGTCGGTGAAGTGCCTGTCGACGAAGTGCCTCTACACGAATTCTTTAATTTAGAGCTGACACAAATCGCCAGTGAATACTTCTAGTCACGGTCTCAAGCCTTCTAATGACCAGATGTTTCATAGCAAACGTCTGCACGTTGTAATTACTGAATATGGTAGATAAAATCTGTTAGTCATTGTTAACACGTTTTGTTTAAATAAACGATATGATAAACAGACACTATTTATTATCATAGACATAAAAAAACAGGAAAAAAAAAAAGAAACAACAGGAACAAACAAACAAGGGATGAATCATGAAAGTGGAAGTAACAAGAAACCAATAGTTAGTTATTTATGTAAGTTTTATATTTCGTTATATGAACGTTCCTCGTGTTTTTTTTCAGCGAGCTGTTAAAAAAACCAATTTAACGTCAAGAGTAATTATAAAAATAAATTAGGAAACATAACATATAGCCGTCATTTCATTACGGAGCGTATTGAAAACTCATAGAGATTTATCAAAGATTTTCTAGCATGACGAAATGATTTAATTGTGCTACTCAGGGGCTGGGTGTATGTGTGGCTGTGTGGTCAAGTGAGGTGCCGGACTCTGCGGTTGGGTGTATGTGTGGCTGTGTGGTCAAGTGAGGTGCCGGATTCAGTGGATGGGTGTATGTGTCGCTGTGTGGTCAAGTGAGGTGCCAGACTCAGTGGTTGGGTGTATGTATGGCTGTGTGGTCAAGTGAAGTGCCGGATTCAGTGGATGGGTGTATCTGTCGCTGTGTGGTCAAGTGAGGTGCCGGACTCAGTGGCTGGGTTTTTGTGTGGCTGTGTGGTCAAGTGAGGTGACGGATTCAGTGGATGGGTGTATTTGTCGCTGTGTGGTCAAGTGAGGTGCCGGACTCAGTGGCTGGGTGTATGTGTGGCTGTGTGGTCAAGTGAGGTGCCGGATTCAGTGGATGGGTGTATTTGTCGCTGTGTGGTCAAGTGAGGTGCCGGACTCAGTGGCTGGGTGTGTGTGTGGCTGTGTGGTCAAGTGAGGTGCCGGATTCAGTGGATGGGTGTATTTGTCGCTGTGTGGTAAAGTGAGCTGCCGGACTCAGTGGCTGGGTGTATGTGTGGCTGTGTGGTCAAGTGAGGTGCCGGATTCAGTGGATGGGTGTATGTGTGGCTGTGTGGTCAAGTGAGGTGCCGGACTCAGTGGTTGGGTGTATGTGTGGCTGTGTGGTCAAGTGAGGTGCCGGACTCAGTGGCTGGGTGTATGTGTGGCTGTGTGGTCAAGTGAAGTGCCCGATTCAGTGGATGGGTGTATTTGTCGCTGTGTGGTCAAGTGAGGTGCCGGATTCAGTGGATGGGTGTATTTTTCGCTGTGTTAGAGTGGTCGGCTGTGTCTAGGCTGAGAGTATCCATCCTAGAAATTGGGTGTGAAAACAGCGTATGTGACTGTGAAAACAGCTTATGTGACTGTCAGTGAAAAGGATTGGGCCTTAGTCATAAAGAAGCTGTATTTATCAGACCTGCAGGTCATTGTGTCTTATTTAAATGCATTTGTCGCGACCACCACACGGCTGCATAAAGGAGTAGTGTATATCCAATTAATGTATAAAAAGTAATAAAATATGATAAATAAACAAATTGGTGCTTGTGAAATTTGATGTATGAGGGGCCATAAGGAACGTGCATATTCCAATGTAATATATGTATTATTTAACTAGCTAAAGTCGTTAAACGCGTTATGTATAAAAGAAGTCATTGCCTGAAAGAAGCGATGTTTAAAAGAAGGGATATATGAAAGAAGTGATTCATTAAGGAAGGGATGTATAAAGTAGTACAGTGTGAAAAAAAAATGCATAAAGAAATGATAAATAAAGAAGTGATATCTGACTGAAATAATGTATAAAAAAAACACAAAAGATACGCATTAGAGAAAGGGTGATTATAAATATGACGCAGGAAGTTAGATGAGTTACATGTATATACAAACTGAAAGTTATCAGGCGGCTGTTCACCCTACGCTTCTCTGTGCCTGTGAAACGTGGACGGTGTATCGAGAATGCTGAACCACTTTCATACAAGAAGACTCGGAAAAATCCTCAACATTAAATGCAAGGACATGGTCCCAGACACTGAGGTGCTCACACGGGCAGGTCTCTTCAGCATCTTCACAAGCTTGATGAAGTCCCGGCTTCGCTGGGCGGGACATGTTGTGAGAATGTCAGATGACCCCCTTCCTAAAAATAATTTTTATGGAAAGCTTGAACAAGGAAAGTGGTC